GAATGGGACGTAGATGTTGGTTATTCAAATCTCCTTGTAGTTGTGAAAGTTATGTCGAGCATGAAACTATGTAAAGCAGTAGAGCCTGATAGTTTGGCACCTGAATTTTTCAAGAATGGAATGACTAGGTTGACGGAAGTACTGAGTAGTGTATAGGAATCAGAGGTGATGCTGTCAAACTGATGTCCTTCATTTTGTTGTTCCAGTCTATGAGAAGGGAGAGAAGTCTTCCTGTGACAATCATAGCGGAATTAGTTTGATTAATGATGTGTTCAAGATCTTAGGATTCATAGTTATCCAACACCTGAATGGAGATGGAGAACAGCAAACTCGAGAAATCCTGTCAGGTTTTAGACAGAACTGGACGAGAGTGCATTGATCATACTTTTATTTTCCGACAGGTTCTGGAACACGGGCATGCCTAGTGGCCAACAGCCAGTACACTTGCCATATTTCTTGACCTGAATGTGGCATCTGACTCTGTCGACTATGAGGTGCTATTACAGTGTGTGACTGACTGACTGACTGACTGACTGTGAAGGGAGTACCGAGCAAGTATATAACGCTAATCAAAGCTCTCTACTCGAACTCAGACAGCCGGTCAAAGGTTAATGGAGAGTTGTCAAGTGAACTGATGACAACTAGTGGTGTTAGTCAGGGATGCCTACTGTCACCATTTCTATTTAACTTCGTCATAGACGACCTAATGGAAATTACCTTAGGTACATCTGACTTCACAAGGATTGGCCTAATTCATGGATGTCATCTGGTTGACTTGGAGTATGGAGATGATATTGTCCTCCTGGGTGAAGACGCTAACAAAGTGTAGAATCTTGTGAATGCATTGAACAGAAATCTGAGTAGGTGTAGCATACATCTCGAACCTGTCAAACGTAATATGATGCTCCATGATTGGTCTGCAATTACTCCCATTTAATTGATAGAAAATGAAGTGATGTGATGTGTCGACTATAAGGCCGAACGGGCTGGTTGCTGACGATATCTCAGCTCGGATACAGAAGGTTCCTTTTCCAATTTGCGTCATCTCTGGCGGTGGTCGGTGAGATATCCGACTATGTATCAGAGGGTGAGTGTACTTCACTGCAGTCGTGTTGAATGGCTTTGAGACATAGCAGTTAAAAGTAGAAGATCTGAAGCGATTTCAGGGTTTTGATCACAGGCGGCTTCGTAGCACTGCTCACGTTTGATGGGATCACCGTGTGAGCAATGCTGACGTCGATTGAAGGCTTTTAGGCATGATAGGCTAATCGGTCGACGAGGTTGTGAACCTCAGTCAACTGCAATGACTTGGATATGCGTTGCGCATGCCGAGTCACCATCTACTTCGACGTACCACGTTGGGAGAAATTGGATTAGGCTGGAAGATGGTTCAGGGTGGCCAGACCAAGTGGTGGTACCAGTTCATGAAATCTCTGACTGTTGGTCTGAGTCGTGTGGTGTAGACGTAGACTATCTGACTGGTGACCTCGAGACGATAGAAATCAGTGGTTGAGGATTGTTGGTGACGGTTGAAGATCGGTCACAGTAACACAGATGTTTTCTTTCTTTCTAAAGCTTAGACATTTGTATGAGCCATAATCCTCAAATTGTGTATTCTCTCGCACAACTTTGTCTTCTTTGATGTCACTCTTTTTCTATCCACCTGTTCTTTGTGTACTACTGTGAGTTGTAGAAACTTGAACCGATGGACGTGTGTGCGAGGTTATACCTTGATTTTGTTAGTCAGTCAGCCAGCAAACCTTTTCTATTTGTGTAGTTGCTGAGTCATGGAGGTATGTAACTGCACCTACGGATAACAACTGTTTTTGCTTCCTAATATATATTGAAATTGATGCTCATAGTTTTCGGTGTCATAGGCTAAACCTTATTTTAATTTAAGTGTAAAAATTGGGCACTGTGGTAGAATGTAATTCCATATTAGGGTGGCATTTAAACCAACGAACTCACTTAGAGGTAAGCTTTGTCGGCTAAAAGATCCGATAGAACCAATTAGGCAAAATAATATAATCTACCAAATTCCATGTAATGACTGTGAGGTCAAACTAGCCGGTCGGGGTCAGTTAGATTAGCAGAACATAGGAATTTAGCTAAACATAGAACGACAGACCCCAATAAAATCAATAATCTAGAAAAACACTCGGCCATTGCATTACATTCATTAACACACAACCACACAGTAGGGTGAGACAAAACCACTATACTTAGGTCTAATATAGCTAGATGGAGAGAGAGATTAATTACTGAATCTTTGTTCCACACCCAACACATGTAATATGAATGACGCAACACCTACACCAGAGATATGGAAAACTTTACTACCAATCAGAAAACAAAGAGAGATCAGGTGACAGGACTATAAAATCAGATATCGAAAGAAGTGTGATTACATTGATATGATTATGAGCAGTAATAATTTATGCTCGAAACGTAATCAAATAAATAATACTGTATCACTGTGCGCTATATATCAAATAAATGAATCTAATATGGAATGAACCTTATTTTGCCTTGAAAACCATTATATCAACCTACCGTCGCTGGTAGAACATGTTTTTATCGCATAGTAGATAATTTGTACGGTTTTAGTGAACATTCTCTGTACTTCTTTTTTCACACCAACCCTAAATAGTATTCAACACATTACTGACTTCTGTAAAGCTGCAAAGACGGTTCTTTCCTTAATATTTCATGTTTAAGTGATAAATTCTTGTAAACCTACATTAAGTAGGATACCTTGATAAATATTTATTCAGCATTCAACAGTGTTATGAGAGTAAATTTTCATTGTTCCATCAAAAGTAGGGCTATGTCTCATTGGTTTGTGGAGCTGACTTTCAACCAGTATGTTATGATTTCGAACTCCACTCCATCTGCAGAGGTTTGGACAGCCAGATAGTAACATTAGCCGTCACACAACAAGTGTGGCTTATTACCTACTTTACCTAAGTCCTCAGTGACGTTGAGTCCATGACTGACTGACTGCCTGCCTGATTGTTTCATCAAACTGTTTCTCATTCATGTCAGTCTTTTTGTTGGCGTATCCACCCATTTCACTAGATAAATGTCCATATTTCTGCAATAAGTGATTGTATTGTAGCAAGAAATAACGCGACTGAACTATCCCACCAAAGAGACGAAGACCAGGAATCGGTAATTCACAGGAATCTTTGTATGATTATAAATGCAATTAAAGAGAATTAAATAACATGAAATATTCATTAATACAACAGTCAAAAAAGCCATTTACTAGAGTTTCGGCTGTCGTCTTCATGTTATACTGAAAAGTTCACATTTAGGCGATGCAAACTGAAATCTTTCAGCAGTACATTTCACTCTGACTTGCTATTAACATACAATAGAATTGTCATCCATATATTGTTGATTTATTTTGATGTGTCTAATATACGAAACCATTATCTTCAATCCTTAAATGAGATATATCACCGAAATATCTCACTGAATGTAACACTGTCGTTAGAATAGAAACGGTTGATTACCCAATTGAAACTAGACATTTTTCATTCGTAAAATGGAACAGCTTGTTAAAGTGGCATGTTATTAACATGTTCACACTATAAAGTCAACAGTTTTACTGATAGATATTTACGCGAACAACGAAACAGTAGCAAATGTCTTAAGAGGTTCGTTCATTCTACTTATATCATCTACAATTCGAACAAACAGTTGAGTCTAATCAGTGTGCTTCTCACAACACTTAAATACAGACTGAAAAGTTCCATATAACCATTGCGTTACTTTATCATAAGATTTATCACTAACATTTCCAATCTCTCAATTGGTTATAATGTGTGTATTTTAAAACGATCTGTCAAATTTTGAATTTGACATACAGTTGACTTCATGCTTTTTAATGCATTTTCGCTAGTATATTTCGCCTAAAGCGGGTATTTCAGTTGTAGTACCGTTCGCATTTATGAAGGAAAAGTTTGATATTTAAATTATTATTATTATTTATCCCTTGGGTTCCTAATGGAACATACCGCTTCAGTAACACGTCTCCATTCCACTCTCTTCTCTGAAATCTTTTCAACCTGGCAACACGACTGACCACAACCTCTTATTTCCTCCTCCATGTCACCCTCACCTCGGACATCCAACTCGTCGCTTCCCACTGTGGTTCCACTCGAGAGCCTGGCCTGACGCGTGATATCCCCAGTCAGCCTACTCAGTGAATGCCCAGTTCAATTCATCTCCACTTCCTTTTGCATAGGTTCTTGGTTGGTTGGTTTGTTGCCAGTCAGCCAGCCAGAGTTCCTTGTTGCTTTTTCTTATTATTCTGTCCATCTGGTCTTCACTAACGAGTGAGCGTAGTCGGCAGGTATTGATGAATGTTTGTAGTTTGTTGTGAATGCCTTTCATAACGCCCCAAGTCTCTCACCCATCACACAGAAGCACTGATTTGACGTTGGTGTTGAAAATCCGGATCTTGTTCCACATGCTGAGTGCAGAAGATCTCCACACTGGTTTCAGGCTAATGAACGCCTGTTTTGCTGTCTTTCCGATTCTGACTTCGACATCCTCATCTATGCCGCCTGTAGTTGAAAACGATGCTTTCTAGATAGGTGAAAGAGGCTACTTCCTTTAGGTTTCTCCCATTGATGGTGGTTGGAGCTTGTTGTTGGTGTTGGTATTTAAAACAACGGTCAAATTCTCCATCTCTTTTGCCTGAATTTCTTCATCCACGAAAGTTGTTACTTACTATCTGTGGTCGCAGTTTAAAATTTCGTCTTCGTCTCACACTCCGTGTCTACATAAGAATATTTAGTGCTAGATTGGAGTTTCTGGCAACTAACTTGAAAAATCAAGGCAAAACGAATGCTCTTTATGTTACTTTGTTTATTTTTTGTTACTATTTTAAAATTTGTATAAGTAGGGAAGTTTTTTCTAATTACCCTAAATACTTTATAAAATCTTATATTATCCAATTAAAGCAAAATAGTGTTTTCCTCGATTCACAGCCAGCTTCAGCTCGTGGAATCGGTGTTCGCTTAGTAACTAAATGGTCACAAATACCAAAGAAACGTCCAGCCCTAATCCAAAGGTATGAAAATTTTTTAGTGTATGTTGATGGCTGCCCTAGTGTATGTATGTGTCCGTGCGTGTGTTGATTATCACACCATTTTCTTGAGTTAGTAGTTGGACAGTAGAATTTCCGTTTCATTTGTTACATACGTCCCTATGGCACATTTGTTGTCTCTGTCAGATACTTAGCTTGGAGGTGATGGACAATTATTGATGCGTTATTTGTCCACATTTTTGGCAGAAATGTACAGTACATATAGCTGGAGTTATTTTTAAACACTAACCAGTGGACTGTGTACACGTGGAGGAATATTTACCACTACTTCATATAACCGATGTTAAAAATACAAACGCTACGTGTAATTTGGTAATTCGTTACCACTTTGTATTTGATTGAAGCGATAAACAATTGTCAAGTCAGTGCTTCTATGTGGTTCAGAGAGTTAACACGTTACGAAAGGTATTCCTAGCAAACTTCAGACATTCATCAACAACTGCCTACGCCGGCTCCATACTGATGCTCAGATGGACAGAATAATAAGAAAAAGCAACAAGGAACTCTGGCTGGCTGGCAACCAACCAAGAACGTATCGCTCAACAAATATGCAAAAGGAAGTGGAGATGGATTGGACTGGGCATTCACTGAGAAGGCTGACCTGGGAACATCATGCACCAGGCCAGGCTTTCGAGTGGAACCCAGATGGGCAATGACAAGTTGGGTGTCTGAGATGACGGTGACATGGAGGAGATGGTGTAAGGAAGAAATGAGAACTTGTGGGCTGTCATGGAGCCAGGTTGAAAAGATTTCAGAGAAGAGAGTGTAATGGAGACATGCTACTGAAGCAGTATGTTCGACTAGGAACAGAAGGGACAGATTATAGCAATATGAATATAATGAACAGTTGACAACAGTTGATGTCAGTAATTACGATACTTTGCTAAAACAGACTATACACTAGGTCTAATTATGACCAACATCGCTTTCAATGTTTATCGCAGTCTTTTGTTTCCAGAAGTGATTGTTCGCACAACAACAGCAGACTATTTCAACAGTATTATTGTGATTATTTTGAAATAAGTTATCTAAAATATTGAACATGATTACTGCTGACATATAATTGTCAAAAAAACAGTTTTTGATAAATCCGGGTTAATGGAAGCGAAACATACCATATTGACGATGTGTTTACAGATTTGAAAGTTGGTTAGGTCTCTTTCCAGCTTCATACTAATATGAAGAAATAAGTTGAAACAGGCTAAAAACCACATAGGTTTCTTCAGTGTTGTTGCCTGAATGAGTATCACATTCTCAACAAAATCAAGCAGTTGTCATACTAACCTAAATCTTCAATGTTTCAGTAACTTTCAGGGAATGAATTGTTAAACCCCGGATCGGTAATCTGGAGGTCGCTGGTTCGAATCCTACCACAGCCCAAATTTTCATTTCACCTTAAATCATCACCCAGTATAAAATCCAGAACATTAAAAAAATTTTCACACTATGAGAAATCTTTTATTGCCGAGTGACATTTTGGGATAGTTTTGTTGATAAACGTTTGGGATGGTTTTTAAATTTCGTTTATATCATGTTTCTATCATAGTCCTTGTTGAGCTTCAAACAACAGTCACTACTTCCTTGGCCTAGTCATCTGTCTTTTCATAGATATCCATCTGAATTTTACTTTCTTGTTCACATAATCGATGCACTTTCACAGACTAATCTGACAATACTTTAGTAGAGCAATGCTAGTTTTTATCATTGTCTAGATCAATCAATATCAACATAGGACCAGGCATCACTGCATAAAGGTTCGAGTTGCCACACCACATCAAGTAGAAAGGTAGTGAGGTGAAGGATGAAGATAAGAGAATGCAGTCAAAAGAAATATAAAGTACGAGAAGTACGAAAAGAGGAATGACAAAATGGTGAGATTCGGTATAGCGTCGTTAAGATGATAATGTGTGTATACATCTGCTACACTGAAATCGGTCCTCAGCCATGCCATCACCTAGAGTCAGTCTCCAACCACTGGTTCCTCTTGTCCCGCGTACCACAACCACCTAGTCTGCATCGCCCCATATGGCTGAAACCAATAGTCAGAGACTTCATACATTGGTGCCATGTTTTAGTCTGACCACCTCGAGCCTTTTTCCAGTCTGGACCTACTTCGGCCACCATTGTGTAACGAGGGAATCGGCGACTAAGCATACGTAACAGTGGAATCCAGGACGTGTGTTTTCGTCCTATTTGAGACTCATCAACTAAATGTACCTGCCTCCCAGTGATTGATGTTTTTCCCATCGGGACTCGAATTATGGGCCGATCACTTCAAACTCCAGATCGTTATCCAATAGATCATGGTGCCACGATAGTCACTTCTTGTACAACGGATATAATACAAGCAACAACATTAGTGTTATCCTTTAACTGTTTACCTGAATCATCAGCTTAGCTTACAGGGAATGCTCATTTTGTAATTACTTTCGAAGTTGTATAGTCCTTTAAGCAAAATATATTCTTAATTCATATCTCTGCATATTAACGATTTTTCAAACAATTACAACAAGTGAAGTACGTTTGTTTAGGTTATTACATATGTGTTGAGGTGATTTAAATAGAAATACTTTTCTCATTGATATGGAGTTTTGTTTTTCAAGATAAAAGTACAAGAATATTAGCTTCATCATTATCTATAGTTAATCGCTTACATACACATCCAATAAATCACTGATACATTGTTTGAATGAATTTACAAAACACCACCAAACGCTTTGTTGTTATGTTGGGTTGAATGTCCAACTGGATATGTTAAGTAAAAATGGATAAATAGTTATTATCCATCGGTTCATTCAATTCACTTTCATAGGGAACAATTGAACATCGATTATCTGTGGAACAATCTTGTTATTGAGGTTTAATAGGACGCCTAAACTTGAAGATTAGTTTGAATAATTGTAATGATACTTGTAATTTCTCGTCGCTGTGCAATGCCGAATCGCTCGACCTCTGTTGACAGATGGGCTCCTCGGTACTGCCGGATATTCATGATGTTATATTGACCTTGGGCACTAGCAACTGATACCTGTTGCACAAGAGGTGGCTATCCATGCCCCAGTGACTTAGTGGATAACGCTCTGGCTTTTGAATCAAAGGGTACTGGGTTTGGACCTTAGTGGGAACGACATCACCCACTGACGTGCAGGTAGATCCAGATGACGAGTCCCCGAATAGGATGAAACGCGTGTCCTGGATTCCTCTGCTAGTCAACAAGATCAATAGTTTGAATAGTGTTTTCAGACACTCACACACAAGATGTTTTCTTTCATGAGTTTCGATTGTGACAGTCGTTATTTGCTTGAACTGGTGGTTGACGTCTCTGCAATAGAACATTGAAATATGGTTGTTAATTCACGATTTATCCCAAGAGTAAATAATATTAAAGATTCTGAAGATGACTTGTCCAACGTTAAGGCGTTAACAAAAGCTCTGTCGCATGAAAATACTGACAAGATATAACCTTCGGAAAGACGTTCATGTACTATAAAAATCACTAGGATACTTTCTCACCTCTTCTGTGGAATACTTATTTCAAGACTGATCTCTATTCACCTCGCTTTATCTATTTTCTGTCTATTCATATCAATCTTATTGAATTGATGGTTAAAAGAACAAAAAGGATTAAGCTTAGCTACTTGTATTACAAAGGAGATAATTATAGAACCCGAAGGAATCGGAGGAATATTCTTTGTTCATTCAAATGTCTTTTGAGATATCTAAACGTTTACCAAAGTTGATTATACTGCACAACATCATACTCTGTCTGACTTCACTATCAGCCCAGTCATAATCATTAATGTGGAACGATGTACAAAGACTACATATATTTATTTATTTAATCAGTATTTTCTTCGCACACTGCTTCTGTGTATTTATATAATCGTATAGGCAGTGCCGAATTAAACCAGAGTCCTGGAGAAGAGAATGCTAAATCAACGAATGAAGTTATGAACGTTTAATGACTAAAGTTATTAAGATATGCGTTACAGCTACATATTCACTATCTAGGTCAATGTTCATTGTTAAGTTGAATGGGAACTAAGTGGATTCAGCTTTCAAGAAGCTGGAAGAAAGCTGAGTACTAAACATTGACTACCTCGTCGGTAGTTATGAGAAAATTGAAATCGATGGTCAATAACTTCAGACTATGTACTTCATAATCGACTGAAGTGACTCAAGTCTATTTCTACTTTGTTCTTCTCTAAACTGCAAGAGCCTTTTTGTCATGTATTTTCTCCCTACCTCTTAGTTGTTTTTGCTACTACTGTCAATGCCACTAATTTTGTTTTCCTGTTTTCTGTGTTGTCGTTTTCCTCTCATCGTGTAGATGTCAAGTTTACCAGATTATATCGTTATGCCATTGCACTGCTTTCAGTATTGCTCATCTATATCTGGCTCACAATTGCTATCAAAACATTCTAAAGCAGATTATATTATTATTATTATTTATTATTTGTCCCTTGGGTTCCTAGTGAAAAATACCGCTTCAGTAGCACGTCTCCATTCCACTCTCCTCTCTGAAATCTTTTCAACCTGGCAACACGACTGCCCACAAGTTCTCAATTCCTCCTCACACCATCTCCTCCATGTCACCCTCACCTCGGACATCCAACTCGTCGCTTCCCACTGTGGTTCCACTCGAGTACCTGGCCTGACGCGTGATGTCCCCAGTCGACCTTCTCAGTGAATGCCCAGTCCAATCCATCTCCACTTCCTTCTGCATATTTGTTGGGTGATAGGTTTTTGGTTGGTTTGTTGCCAGTCAGCCAGTCAGCCAGCCAGAGTTCCTTGTCCCTTATTCCTACTATTCTGATTACCTGACCTTCAGTATCGAGCCGGCGTAGGCTGCAGTTGTTGATGAATGTCTGAAGTTTGCTGGAAATGCTTTTCGTAACTCGCCAAGTCTCTGAGCCATACAGAAGCACTGATTTGACTTTGATGTTGAAAATCCGGATGTTGTCCATGCTTATTGCCAGCTGAGTGCAGTAGATCTCCACACTGGTTTCAGGATAATCAACACCTGTTTTGATGTCTTTCCTATCCTGGTTGGCTTTGACATCCTCGTCTGTGCCTGTGCTGCCTGTAGTTGAAACAGTGCTTCCTAGATAGTTGGAAGAGGCTACTTCCTTTAAGTTTCTCTCGTTGATGATGATTGGAGCTTGTTGTTGTTGTTGGTTGAATATCATCATCACCTCTGTATTCTCTACATTCACTTGAAGTCCCCTCTTCTTTCGCTGCCCTGCCTCGTCTCCTCTGTCAACTAGTTGGATTTCGCCTATAGATCTTCAAGTTTGTGCCACAAGACATTAGATGCAAGTCATCGTTGGCGAAATCCAAATCTTGTAGGATCTTTTCCCCGGTCCAGCGTATGCCCATCTTCTCGCTCCTAACTGTTTGTTGCATGATCCAGTCCACCACAATCAGGAAGATCATTTGTGAAAGTAGGCGGCAGCCTTGTTTTACTTCTGTTTTCACTTCAAAGGTGCCGCTTAGCTTCCTATTGAGAATTATTTGGCATGTGGCGTCTTCAAAGTAGATTATATAAGATGCTTATTTTTGTATGCTCATATGAGAAACCGTAAAAGTGGCTTTGTATATTCTTCTAAAGAATCACTTATTTTGCCGTAATCATAATTCAACTCAGATGCTTGTGGAGATTTATTTATTGATTTTAGGCTGTTATTCATCATGCACTGGTATAAGTTGGAGAAACACTGAAAACTTGAGAGGATTGGACAGCTGTTTCATCCTAATATGAGACTCTTCAGCAGTGCGAACCCATGATATGACAAGTTTTGACCCACTAGATCGATGGTAACGTGCTGACCGCGGAACCTAACATTTGTTCCTGCTGTATATGCACCTTAAATCAACACTCTTCGAAGCACTTACTTTAGTGCGAAACAAGAAATCTATTTTAAGTCTTGTAGTGTCATACCTATTTACTACATTTCTTTTTACACTATTTAGGCATTGCATGCTATTTGGTTTATTATAATAATTGAGGCATTTCCTTTCTATTAAGCTGTTAATATTAATTACTTACAAGAAAGCATTTTGTTCATGGAACAATTTCTTATCCTTTTGTACGTGAAGCTTTCTGTTTACGCTTTGTTCAGTGTAAAATATATGGAGTTTGATATTGGCGAAGTGATGATACTTGACGCAGTTGGTTAGTTTCTACTGCATTCATAGTTTACTTGGATGTACTGTCTAGTTTGCCAATGAAACTGTCAACACTGAACCTCTATGATATATAGAAGTTATAACCTTTGAAACTAGCATAAGAGGTTGTTTATATGAAATGATCACGTTATAAACTGCAGACATTATCATCAGCGTAGAATTTATTAGGAAAAAAGAGTAGACGACCACATTGTAGTAATATTTTCTTTTCGTCAAACTCATTAACTTAACTGCACATTTGTGAACACAGTCAAAGGTCAAAATACACTCCTCAAGGAAATCAAGGTTACATAATACATATAATACATACATACATACATACATACATACATACATACATACATACATACATACATACATACATACATACATACATACATACATACATACATACATACATACATACATACATACATACATACATACATACATACATACATACATACATACATACATACATACATATAATACATACATATAATACATATATGCATCTAAACTAGGGAAATGAAAAAGTCATTGGAAAATGAAATTTAATTGAGGTATAAGGTATGTGTGGCTTGATCATACTTTACACAAAACTTTAAAGAAGTCGAAAGGAGACAAGTTTCCTATTACAGAGCTGAAGATATATTTTTGTTTGCTTTTTGTCAACTAGACTGAATGGTACTGATGGACGTGCGTCACATGACAATTCAAATATCTGTATGCTTATATTTTATATTTACTTCCCTTTACACAGATACCTTTCTCGTCCATTTCTAATTAATGACAGTAAATTTGATTTACGCATCTATGTGTACATTTCATCCATCAATCCTTTGAGATTATATATTCATGAAGATGGATTAGTTAGATTTGCTTCACAAAAGTAAGTTAAAGATGTGCATATAACATTTATTTCCTTTGGGTAATAACCTATTTTCGTCTTTACTTGTTACGAAGATCATGGACTATTTTTTAGTGAATATTCAAAGTTTCTTTTCATGTTTACCTTAACAGTAATTGATCTCTGCGCATTAAACTCTCTAAAAGACTTAGATGATGTAGTTAACAAAGTCTTTACAGCAAAAGAAACTTATAAAATGCAGAGTTCCCTGGACATTGAGTAATAGTTTTAAAAGCTTCGGGATGCATACCTCATCACAGAAACGCAAACTGTTACTCCATTACTGGTTTAAGTTGATACCTGGCAGAAAAATAAGGAGTGAAGTACTTGAACGCGTTGAACACTTCATATGCTTGAAAACTCGGATCAGCTTTGATTGGTCAGTGACCTATAAAATTTCGGCTCTCAATTGACCTTCGCCAAATTATGCCAAATATCGCGTCTCTATGATATCTAAATGTCGATTAAAAGTCAAATGTAGTGCACTTCAGTTCACTCTGTTATATTATATGACTATGAAGTATGGACATTAAATGTAGAGAACATGAGAATAAGCCTCAAGTGTTCTGTCAGCGTCGCTTTCGTAGTATAGAATGTATCATGGGACTATCACGTTATTTAGGTGTATAGCTTTATGTATAAAAAGTAGATTGTTTGGTGAGGCTTTGAATACGACTAACTTGATAAGTTAAATTACAAGACAGAATAGATTACAGATGGCTTCTAAGCATACATTTCTTGATGAAGAAAACATTTATAAAGAGTTTTAAGCTATGAGGATGATATTTTCTAAAATTTGGCTGAGGTTAATGATGTCATTCACTTGGACCATAACCAATGTTTTGAAACATTACCATCCCTACTGAAGACCCTTAATTCTTTTCTAAGAATAGTTATATTTGAATAATAGTGAAATTTGACAAAATATGACAGGAACTATTTTAATTACTATGCGTTTTATGTACCTAGAATGCCGTAGTGGATACACTTGTTGGCAATAGCCAACTGACACCATACATTATACTGACTTACTGTAGTTACCTTCACTTACATTTGTCTATTGTTATTAGTCTTGTTTTTCTTTGGGAATAATTGATTATATATTTTATATTTTCTCAGTTGTTTTCATCCTGTCAACGAATTTTACCCATAGGATTTCAGAAAGTTGTTGTTTTTGCTATCTTCCTTCCAACTGAACTACTTCATTATTGATTTTAAAGTGAATTATATTTGTAAAATTACATGGATTTAGTGGAAATTAGTGTTTATGGGACAAATTAAAAGTTCACTAATTTTCTCTCATGATGTTTAATACTTCAGCTTTTCAGCATTTTGCAGTAAAAACAACTTCATCTGCTGCCGCCCAGTTTTTCATTTCACCTTCATTCATCACCCAGTATCAATTAAAAGTCTACCAAATTACGGCTATCTCAGATAGTCAAACTAATGAACATTTACACTCAAGAAGCCAGACACACTGATCAAATCGTCAACTACAGTAGCAACAACCCAACAACGTCTAAAAGTACTTGCGTGTAGACTGTATTCAAAAGAGCGAGAACACACTGCAGTACAACAAAGAAGAATGGCTACCCAAAAAACTTTATCAGAAGATGCCTACATCCCGTACATCATCAACCGCAAAGTCATCTACAGAAATCAATAAACGCATCATCCTACCATACATAAAGAATGTATCAAAAATCACGACAAGATTACTGAGACCATGTGGAATTGGTGTGGCTCACAAACCAACAAATTCCCTCGAGACACTGTTATGCAGACCAAAGGATGCAACAAGCAAAGAAGACAAACTGAATATCATTTACAAAATCAACTGCAATAACTGTAGTCAACAATACATTGGACAAAGTGGTCGCCCTTTTTGCCTTCGTTTACTTGAACACTAATTGGCTATTAAATGTCTCGACATTCCATCACTCATTTCAATGCACGTGGGTAATTACGGACATGAATTCAATTTTAACAATGTAAAAAGAGATCTTGGACAGAGGAAACACAAAGAATATCAGAGAATTCCTAGAAGCTTGTCATTCAGGTCAGTCAGCAATCAATAGATATATAGACATGGACCCGATCTATCAACCAATAAGAAAAGTGATAGGCGACAGAAAAGTCAGCGGTGAAGCAGAGGGACAGCCAACAGGAAAATCTATGACACATCAGTGACACAACAATCAAAGGAAACAACCAGTCACAGACCACTGCGTTAGAGCAGGCTACTAAATCACTCGTGGAGAGATATTGACAGCTCACTCACTTCATAGTGAAGTTAGCGCTGATGATGTTGTCTAGAAAGACGATGAAAGCTCCACAATTAAACAACTCAGCTCAGTGAACGTGGTACAACCGAGACCATCCACCTGAATTACAAAATATTCTCCATCATTCCGCACTCAGTTTTCATATACCCTTATAAAATGAAAGGAATCCTGCATAACGTTTGTTTATCACACCAAAGACTATGAAGAATCATAAATTATTTTTGCTGCACATTCGTGAAAAGTAATAGAAACGATAGGACATTCCAGAGTAATTTCCGTTCAAAGGTCGAAATAAATTATAAGACAAGTGGAAGTTACGTAATATCTGTCAGCGTTGAACATGGGGAAATAAACAAAAAGACTACTATATAAAATATATTTATGTCATGATCTAAAGTGATCAGTCTTCTAGGATGACCATGACAAACAGATCACTTTGTTTATTGCCCATTTTAAACCCCTATAGATCTTATATAACTTACCTTTGTCATATACTTTATTTTGACCTTTGACCGAAAACTACTTTAAAATGATTCATTATATAGATAAGTTTTGATATAATCTCAGCGTGTTTAGAAAATCAAATCAACCTAACTCGGCGCTCAACTTCTTTCAGGATATTCGTAAAAATTATAGCCTGGATGTTTATACTTTGAAATGTTTTATCTTTTCTACTTTATGTTCATGAATGAACAACTAAGAGAAAAGAAAACTTTTCTCCTCTCTGCTATCGTCTTCTCTCTTTTTCTTATGATAAAATGGGTTTGTTCCTGTATAAAATATTTGTCAAGAAATCTATTTTGAATACATTGATTGACCGTAGGAGAGTAACCAGTCTCTTGTTTTTGAGTCCCTAGTACAGACTGAATTCTATCGATTATATTTGCAATGTGCCCACCAAACTAGGAGGCTCAGCGTCGCTCTCTTATTGACCAATCAATGTATATAAACCAACTTTACAGGAAGTTAATCATGGCTTGAACAACTCAGTGATAACGTCGCTGAATACCAGACTGGCTCGAATCTCAGGTGGAACATCAGTCTCACCGAGGTTGCAGATGCACCCTATTGACGAGTGCCAACAAGCACGAAATCCAGGTTAAACAGGACTTCTTGCTGATTACTTCCAATCAACCTACTGCATTTTGCAACAAACTATATTTCATACACTCATTTCTATTTGTAAATTTGAGTACAGTAAGAACCACACTTGCAACGAAATTACATTAATTTACTTAGTCTTAGGGATTTCGTATCAGCTGCTTACGAAGTAAAACACTTATATGCTATACTAAAACCAATTTCAGCACAATGAGTTCAAACAACAGGAACCTTCACAATTTACTGAAGAGTTTGACTATCTAGTTACGTTTGCTACTCATCACTAAGCGATCAGTATAGGTGATATGCGAAGGGTCTGCAACATATATGCAGAGGAAACTGCCGCAACTATCCACTTCCATATACATGAATGAACCCACCTGTTCCTTTGAAGCTAGATACATAGACCGTATATAACTACAGATTGTCGAACATCGATAATAGCACCCTCTCACAAAATTTAGTGACGATCAATGAATATCGATCAGTAGCTTCAGGTTACAGCATTAAGTTGAGACTCTACTCAAACTCAGAAAATTCGTTTGCAGCAGTCTACAAAAAACAACGATAACAGGAGTAGAAATAAGTCCAAATCATCCATTGTATTTTCCTAGAAGGAAGCAACTTCAGAAACTTTACCTAGAATTCTCAACAAACCTCCAATCACTGTGACACTCAAACCTACAAACTCACTCGTCGACTGGCTCCAGCTCCACGATCGGATAAAACCAATTATGCAAAATAATCTAATCTATCAAATTCCATCCAATCACTATGAGTGAGATCAAGTACATTGGTGGAACAAGCCATTCGAGGTCACTTAGAATAGCCGAACATAGGAATCTAACTAAATATAGAAATAATGACAGACTCCAATAAGATGAATAATGTAGGAAAGGACAATGCGTGCATTAATACACAACCACACAGAAGGCTGAGTGGGATAAAACCACTTTACTGAAGTCCAATATAATTAGGTGGAGAGAGAGAGACAGGGATTGGTTACTCAATCCTTGCTCATTGAATCGATAACCAACATATGTAATAGGAATGATGCGACACCCATACGAGAGATATGGAAAACCTTACTACTAATAAAAACAAATAATATGATGTGGCAGGTCAATAGAAATCAGATGTAGGAAGTGGTGTGACTACATTGATATGATTATGAGCAACAATTTATGCAGGAAACATCATCAAGTAAATAATACTGTATCAGTGTGTGTTATAAATCAGATTGAGAGATCTAATATGGAATTACCTTCTACCACCACAGTGTCAAAGTTTTACACTTACAAAAATACAACATAATCTTCAGAAGGATGTGAGGAAATGTTCGTCTACTTTGTATAACTGAGAGTCTAACAATGCAAAAATTAAAACTTGAATTGTATATCCATAGGGAACTTTTCCATTGTACATCCTTCCTTACTCGCATTTTAATTTTTAAACTTTCCCATTCGATTTTCATGCGATTATCACATCGATGATTTTAGCTCACTTGTTGATTTCTGATCCTCTTCCTCACTGACAACTGTTTGTTGACTCACTTTCTCATAAATTCTTCACTTCCTGATTCTAATCATTCCTATTCACATTGTCTTTTCTTTTTTCTTACCTAACCTTTATTCCACAACTGACTAAGAATTGTTGATTGACAGATTTCAACAATAAATATGCAGCTGAACTATATTTAAATCCGATTATCCATCTACTGGAGATGATATTTCTGAAAAGCAATTTGTTTCCTGAAGTCTTTCCATCATGAAACAGGTAATCTAATGATACACTAAGTCAAACATTTTGTGTAGATTCAAATTTCGTATTAAGCGCAACAACCAGTTCAATCAAAAGGTCATGTAATGTAATCAGGAAAATTTAGGATTATAAGGCTAAGGCAAAAGAAATTAGTGATTTTTTCTTGATAAACGAAGAAATTCATTTTTAAGACTTATAGTTTATCACATTTTAAAACGTTAAGTGCGATATTTCTTCCTATCCAGTGTTGGTAAGATCTCTGGCAACGTTGCTACTGAAATATCCTCTTTCATGCACATTTAAAGAATTTAAAATATACTACCTTTCGGTTCTGTCAATATACTGTCTTTAAGAGATGCACACAAATGATTTGCTCAAGAATATCATAGAAATGTCACCAGTTGAAATTTGATAGCACCCATGAACTTGTTGTTTTGTATAAATCGTTTGCGTGATATGATCTTTTGTACGTGACTCTAATTACCTCTATCTTCTCAGACTTTGTAAATTACTATTCAGAAAGCAGTTAAATGACTTGGAGCATATAGACGACATAGTTTTATCATGTTAAAACTAGAAAAATGGAAGATCTTTAAAATTTTTGAGCAGAAATACAAGTGTTAGACACATGGTTCATACCTGTTGACATTAAAATGATGCCTCGGAATTCATCTGCACCCATATCTAATTTTTGAATAGAGAGAAAACGGTGAAGTACATTGATCGCTTCATTTATTTAAGGGAGTTGCATTAGCCCAAAAGGATTGATTGTTGAGAAATTCTCTGCTCGGTTGTCATTTCTTGCACGTATAGCATATCTGACAATCTAGATAGACAGTTCCCCTTTTTTAATTGTTCAACGAGAGTAGCTAAAAAAAAGTTTATGCATTTCAAACTAAAAGTTTGCTTGCTTTATATTAGATACTGAAACATTTTACACGAATGTTTAGCCTCATTCTCAGCATAGTGACATGGGAACTACCTTTTCCGTATAGTTGAGTAATATTCCTACAATTCTATTGAGCCAAGTTAGTTGACACGTGTTGATTATTGTTACGTTTTTTGTAATACGACTAAATTTCACCTCAGTATATCAGTTATACTGTCTTCATGCCAGTAACAGCAGCTTCGAACTTGGGATCAAACATCCTTTTTCATTGTTGCTCCGAAATGATAGTTATACTACTCAAACCGGTACAGATATTTAAGTGCGATACTGTTATCATTATTTGTCCCTTGGGTTCCTAGTGAAACATACCGCTTCAGTAGCACGTCTCCATTCCTTTCAACCTGGCAACACGACTGCCCTCAAGCTCTCATTTCCTCCTCACACCATCTCCTCCATGTCACCCTCACCTCGGACATCCAACTCGTCGCTTCCCACTGTGGTTCCACTCGAGTACCTGGCCTGACGCGTGATATCCCCAGTCAGCCTTCTCAGTGAATGCCCAGTCCAATCCATCCCCACTTCCTTCTGCATATTTGTTGAGCGATACGTTCTTGGTTTGTTGCCAGCCAGCCAGAGTTCCTTGTTGCTTTTTCTTATTATTCTGTCCATCTGAGGTTCAGTAACGAGCGAGCGTAGGCTGCAGTTGTTGATGAATGTCTGAAGTTTGCTGGAAATGCTTTTCGTAATGCGCCAAGTCTCAGCCATATAGAAGTACTGATTTGACGTTGATGTTGAAAATCCGGATGTTGTCCATACTTACTGCCAGCTGAGTGCAGTAGATCTCCACACTGGTTTCAGGTTAATCAACGCCTGTTTTGATGTCTTTCCTATCCTGGTTGGCTTTGACATCCTCGTCTGTGCCTGTGCTGCCTGTAGTTGAAACAGTGCTTCCTAGATAGGTGAAAGAGGCTACTTCCTTTAAGTTTCTCCCGTTGATGGTGATTGGAGCTTGTTGTTGTTGCTGGTTGGATATCATCATCACCTCTGCCTTCTCTACGTTCACTTGAAGTCCCATCTTCGCTGCCCTGCCTCGTCTCCTCTGTCAACTAGTTGGATTTCGCCTGTAGATTTTCAAGTTTTTGTGACATTAGATGCAAGTCATCGTTGACGAAATCCAAGTCTTCTAGGTTCTTTTCTGCGGCCCAGCATATCCCCCTCTTCTCATTCCTCACTGTTTGTTGCATGATCCAGTCCACTACAATCACGAATACGATGGGTGATAGTTGACAGTCTTGTCTTACTCCTGTCTTCACTTCCAAAGCATCACTGAGTTTCCCATTATGAATTATTTGGCATGTGGCGTCTACATATAGTTGTTGAATGAGATTGATAAAGGTTTGTGGTATTCCGTAGCGTTGAAGCAACTGCCAAATTTCTTGTCGGTGGACGCTGTCGAAAGCCTTTTCAAAGTCGATGAAGTTGAGGTAGAGATCCGGTTGACTGCCATTCTATACTCTGTTCTATGATGAGTACAATACCATAACTCACATATATTGTATATGGGGTTTTGATACTACATGGTTAATATGGCCGAATTGGTATTTATCTGGGATATACACGTTTTATAAACTCAGATTAGTAAATTTACTGAAATGAGTTAAAATAAGTAGACTCATTGATAAGAATCAGTCACATTGTAAAACAAATTCAGTGTAGTTATTTTGGGGCATATTTAACAAACTTTCAGATCCCATTGATTCCATGTTGGCTTACAACTTTATTTGAGTTCGACTTTTAGCTGACTTAGAAATACACCTAAATGGAGTTCTATATTTTTAGTGTTTCCAATCAACCAATGTTAATAAAGTAACGTATATTAGATCACTTTTACTTCATGGTTATTATTGCTAAACGTATCAGTAGAATTTTATTTTGTTTTTAAATATGTGAGTAGACTGTACCATCGTACACGTTCAGTATTGTCTAAACATGTATTCATTTGTATATTGAATTACACATTGTTAGGTATTCTAATTCAGTTCGTTCTTTGGGGAATCGATTCATTCACTTAACAAATTATTCAATTAATCGCTTAAATTCAGAATATATCAGTAATACAAATGAATTTGCTGCTAAAGGTCATAAATGGTAAGTCATTTCTATCATTCGCTTTATTTGTACATTTGTGTATACTACTATTCATATTCTAATATAAAGGTCAGTTTGATTGGTTCAGTTTAATTAAAAATGTATCATTATGAATATGATAAACGATAGTAAAAAAAAAAAGGCTTGATATATCCACTTTTGGTAGGTATGACCAATTTTATTTCTATTAACAAATGTGGTGTGGTCAATCTTTTGGTTAACAGTTAGTGTTTATAAGACTTGCAACTTGATGATGAAAGCCTATGTTATGTGTATCAGGCTATATCATATAAATAATGAAAATTATAGAAAAAGGCTTTACGGAGTTCTGTTAAATGCAAGTTTTGCATCCTCTAAAATCTACTGTTGTTGGTAAAAAAAGTTGGGAAAGTATGGGTAAAATTAGATATAATATGAGGAGTAATGTGAAGCACCTTACTTATATCCATCTTGTTTATTCTCCAATCAACCAAGATGTATTGTAGTATAATTGTTTTTATATGATACCGTCGTTGCTTGGACCGAATTGATCTGTCTCTATTGGCATATGGGCTCCTGTGCGGATGTCTCGATATTGCCTGAGTTCTAGTTATATTAATAATGGATCGTGGCTAGCAGTGGAATCCAGGATGCGCATTTTGTCCTATTTGGGACTCATCAGCTGGATGTACCTGCTTCCCAGTGAGTGATGTTGTTCCCACTGGGATTCGGACTCGGGAGCGATCGCTTCAAATGCCAGGGCAATATCGAGGCATCCGCACAGGAGCCCATATGCCAATAGAGACCGATCAATTCGGTCCAATCAACGACGGTGTCATATAGAAACAATTATACTAAAACTATACCCGTCGCACAAGAAGTGACTATCGTGGCTCAGTGGTGTAGTAGATAACGCGCTGGTGTTTGGAGCGATCGCTACTGAGCCCGAATCCAGGTGGGAACAACATCACTCACTGAGAAGCAGGCGAATTCAGCTGACGAGTCCGAAATAGGACGAAATTAGCATCCTGGATTCCATTACCCACCATTAATACAAGCTGCATTATGTTTAGAAATATGAAGATAAATGTTTTCAGTAATAAATCCCATACAGCTGCCTTTCGATGAAACGTTGAACTGGGAAATATATTTGATGATGAACCATTTAGGGATTTTGCCTTTTTTTTGGTAACTGATAGTTGGTCATTTGAAGAGTATGAAACGCAAATTCTGTTTATCATAGTTGATCGTTTATGAACTCATCCCAAAGGCTTACAACACTGGTCTTGTCCCAATGATTTGGTATACTTTATACGAATAATGTAACTTAATAACTCCTCATTTATTGGGATTTTCTTGAGTTTTTTGAATACAAATGTATGCAGTGTTGTGTCACTAAGCTTAGTCACCATATTGGAGATTTGATCGACGGATCTTTGGTCAATAATGAACACTGAAGTAAGTGTAAAACATTTTATACGAAATTTGAATCTACACAAAATGTTTGACTTAGTGTATCATTAGATTACCTGTTTCATGATGGAAAGACTTCAGGAAACAAATTGCTTTTCAGAAATATCATCTCCAGTAGATGGATAATCGGATTTAAATATAGTTCAGCTGCATATTTATTGTTGAAATCTGTCAATCAACAATTCTTAGTCAGTTGTGGAATAAAGGTTAGGTAAGAAAAAAGAAAAGACAATGTGAATAGGAATGATTAGAATCAGGAAGTGAAGAATTTATGAGAAAGTGAGTCAACAAACAGTTGTCAGTGAGGAAGAGGATCAGAAATCAACAAGTGAGCTAAAATCATCGATGTGATAATCGCATGAAAATCGAATGGGAAAGTTTAAAAATTAAAATGCGAGTAAGGAAGGATGTACAATGGAAAAGTTCCCTATGGATATACAATTCAAGTTTTAATTTTTGCATTGTTAGACTCTCAGTTATACAAAGTAGACGAACATTTCCTCACATCCTTCTGAAGATTATGTTGTATTTTTGTAAGTGTAAAACTTGGACACTTTATTATTATTTGTTATTATTATTATTAGTCCCTTGGGTTCCTAGTGGAACATAGGGCTTCAGTAGCACGTCTCCAGTGACCTCTGGTCTCTGAGATCTTTTGAACCTGGTTCCACGACAGCCCAGAAGCTCTCATTTCCTCCTCGCACGACCTCCTCCATGTCACCCTCACCTCGGACATCCAACTCGTCGCTTCCCATGGGGATTCCACTCGAGCATCTGGCCTGACGCGTGATGTCCTCAGTCGGCCTTCTCAGTGAATGCCCAGTCCAATCCATCTCCACTTCCTTCCAATGCATATTTGTTGAGCGATAGGTTCTTGGTTGGTTCGTTCCCAGAGCTCCTTGTTGCTTATCCTAACTATTCTGGCCATCTGATCTTCAGTAGCGAGCCAGCGTAGGTGGCAGTTGTTGGTGAATGTCTGTAGTTTATTGGAAATGCCTTTCGTAACGCGCCAAGTCTCTGAGCCATCACATAGCAGCACTGACTTGACTGAGGTTGGTGTTGAAAATCCGGATCTTGTTCCGCATGCTGAGTGCAGAAGATCTTTACACTGGTTTCAGGCTAATGAACGCCTGTTTTGCTGTCTTTCCGATTCTGACTTTGACATCCTCGTCTGTGCCGCCTGTAGTTGAAACTGTGGTAGAAGGTAATTCCATATTCGATCTCTCAATCTGATTTATAACACACACTGAAACTGTATTATTTACTTGATGATGTTTTCGCATAAATTGTTGCTCATAATCATATCAATGTAGTCACACCACTACCTACATCTGATTTCTATTGACCTATCATATCATATTATTTGTTTTTATTAGTATGGGTGTCGCATCATTCCTGTTACATGTGTTGGTTATTGATTTGATGAGCAGGGATTGAGTAACCGACGCCTCTCTCTCTTTCTCTCTCTCCACCTAATTATATTGGACTTCAGTAAAGTGGTTTTATCCCACTCAGCCTTCTGTGTGGTTGTGTATTAATTCACGCATTGTCCTTTCCTACATTATTCATCTTATTGGAGTCTGTCATTATTTCTATATTTAGCTAGATTCCTATGTTCGGCTGTTCTAAGTGACCTCGACTGGCTTGTTCCACCAATGTACTTGATCTCACTCACAGTGATTGGATGGAATTTGATAGATTAGATTATTTTGCATAATTGGTCTTCAGATTTCGTGGCCAGCACTTTACCGTTGAGACACTGGGTCGGAATCCAGTGGTACATATTTTCTACTTCTATCAGTTCACGATATAGTTAAACCCGTCATCCAATGTCATCGTTGTGTATTTTTCCTCACATTCCCTCGGTTCGCCTCACTGTCGACGACTTCTTACTGGAACCTCAGGAATCACCTCTCCAAACCAATCACCAATAAGCATCAGATTCAACCAAAAATCAATAAATCCCCACAAAATCCTCTAAACTGATCGATTATATCTGTTCACCGACACGCATTGAACTTCGTTGCCATTCAGTCAGCCAATTTAAACATGAGACGTGGGATAACTACGTTGCTGTCCAAGTTTCTTCATCTCACATTAGCATATAAAACGACAAAGTACCAAGACAAAAGACGGATAAATAGAGAAAATGTGATCTTAATTCTTAAAACATCATCAGAACAGTCGGAGAGACAAAGTGGCGACCGAAATGTGATAAGATGGTTAGGACAAGGATAATTTATAGATGGATCTGCAAAATTGTTATGATTGTGAACCGTATCATCTCCAACCAACAATTTCCGTTGTTACCTGGTTTCCAATCAAGAAGTCGTCACTCCCTACTCTACTCAAACCAATAGCCAGAAATCTCATGGCTTGATGCTAACTTCTAGTCTGGTTGCCGATCCAGCCTGAAACTACTTCAGATAACATTGTACAATTGAAGTAATGGTGGCGAGGCATGCCTACCACATTCTCCAACCTCATCAACGGATTTACCCCTTTTACCTAAAACTTTTCACCTGACTGATGTGGTGCTACCATGACATTCGATCTATGCTACAAACACAACGCTGATCGAACACTTGAAATCTCATGTAATCTAATTTCAATGCCCCCTGTTTCACGACCGTATCATAGGATATAGTGAACTGCAGTACAGGACACTCAGCCCTTAATAGGTAGTCAGATATCACAGTGACACCATAAATGACGGAGGTCGGAGCAGGTGAATCAAGCCTTTTATATCCGTGCCGAGATTTCATAAGTCATTGACCTTCAGTGCTAATCTAACTTCTCTATCAAGTTAAGTGTTCAACGCATTCAACCAGTTCACTCATTTTTGTTTAACGAAACATCAATGCAGACCAGTACCGGAGCAACAGTTTGCATTTCTGTGGTGAGGTGTATATCCTGAAGATTTTCAGATTGTCACTGAATGTCCTAGGAACTCTGCATCTTGTAATTTTTTCCAGTTGAATAAGACTACGTTAACTGTAAAGTCACATAAGAAAAGAAAACTTGATATACACTTGTGTTTTAAAGTTTGCTTACCACAACCATCTAGAATCATCTGGTTATGAATGTTGGATAGGTGTTATTGGTAGTACTCATTCAGGCTTTCATCTTAGTAGTTAATGGCGTAGTTAGTGAGAGGAATAAATGGGAGAAATTGATACTAGTGTATTGCTTTTTTACTTGTGAAGTCGGATTTTAATTGTCTATTGATATTTCATAAATTCTTCAGTTATTGGCTTCAGATTGCTATGTAATAACAAATTTTTATGTACAGTTTCTAGTGTTATGATTTCGTTCGTTTGACAGCTTACTTTCTTCCATGTTATTGCATTATATATATATATATATATATATATATATATATATATATATATATATATAATCCTTAAAATCTTTATTTAGGAGTCTACGAGCTTTATGGATGTATTTAAAATCACAAGGTATATCACCTGCGCCTATTTGGTCAAGTATTAAAGATGTTGTTGTGAAGACTGTAATCAGTACAGAGGCTGCATTCAACACAGCACTGAAGGTTTATTGTAATCATTCATTATCTGTACATGAAATATTTGGTTTCGATATTTTTTTGGATGAAGATTTACAACCTTGGTTACTTGAAGTGAACGTTTCACCGAGGTAAACATAGTGATTAATAAATTCTTTTGTTTTATGTTAAATTCTAAAAAATAAAGTTTGCGAATAAGAAAAATTGAAAGAATATTTCAAAAGAATTATTCTCCATATTAGCATTTTTCTTTTCACAGCATAACTTTGAATAACATTCTAGCCAGCATGTTCAACGCATCAGTTTTCAAAGCCTATTGAAGATGATGTAGATATTTCCCACTATTTCATACTCTGAAAGGTAACTTAATAAATCCGTGATCATGAAACTCAATAAAACTGTACAACTCGAGATGATTTTTAGTCATATCATGCAAAATCTTCAATTATTTGCATTTTCCATACCGAAGGTATTAGTTCTGCCAGTAGTCTGTGTTATCTTGAACATCATAAACCAGAGAATAAATGATTTATCTAAGTCAATTTGCCTTCCATTTTCAGTTGAAGCCACATTTATGGCATAAGCATGAACGGGCATACTTAGCTTATAATCATTTCATTTCAGTTAATTCAGGTTCATAACTTATCAGTTCACTGACTTTTTGTGTCTAAAGCGTTTTACTTGATAGTGAAACTGGTTTTATAATTTCTTTGTGCTTTGAAGTTTATTTAGCGATTGGATTAGTTTTACGGGGTAGGGTTGCTAGCCCTATGCCCAACCTTCCCTCTTCATCTGAACCGGTTAGTAACTAGTGAACTAATTAACCAGGCGAGGTTAGTGAAACCGGTAATTAGCTAATTTTGTCAATGAATATGTGTAATCAGTCATATAATACAATCGACTTTAGTGACCACCACTACACTCGTCTAACTTGTGCTGATGTTTTCTGTTTTAAATTCGATACCAGTATTGAAGCTTCTCTTCAATGGAATATGCAGTCTGAAATAAATTGGATGTCATTTATTCATTATTATTATTATTTATTACTTCTTTCGGTTCCTAGTGGAACATAAGGCTTCAGTAGCTCGTCGCCATTTCACTCTGTTCTCTGCAGTCTTTTGAAGCTGACTCCACGACTACCCAGAAGCTTTCATTTCTTGCTCACATCATCTCCTCCATGTCACCCTCGGACGCCCAACTCGTCGTTTCCCCTTTGGATTCCACTCGAGTACCTGGCCTTGCACGTGATGCCCTCAAATAGTCTTCTCAGTGTATGCCTAATCCAATCCATCTCCACTTTTTTCTGCATATTTGTTGGGCGATGGGTTGTTTGTTGGTTCCTTGCCAGGCCAGAGTTCCTTCTTGCTTATTCTTATTATTTTGATCATATAATCGATGTTCAGTACCGAGTGAGCATAGGCAGCAGCTGTTGACGAAGTATGTCTGCTGTTTGTTGAAAATGCTTTTCGTAACGCACCAAGTCTCTCAACCATTACATAGAAGCACTGACTCACTTGACTGACATTAGTGTTGAAAATCTGGATCTTTTTCACGCTTTATGCTGAGTGCATTGCAGTAGATCTCCACACTGATTTCCGATTAATCAAGGCCTGTTTCGGTGTCTTTCCGATCCTTCAGATTTCTCCCGTTGTTGTTGTTGGTTGTGTATCTTCATCACCTCCGTCTCCTCTACGTTCACCTGAAAGAAGTTACGTTTTCCTTCGCTGCCTTTTCTGTCAACTTGTTAGTTTTCCCCTGTACATCTTCGAGTTTGTGCTGCACTAGACATGAATCATCATTGGCGAAATCCAAATTTTCTAGGCTCTTTTCATCCATCCAGTCAGTGTATCCCCCTCTTCACGCTCCTCATAGTTTGTTACATGATCCAGTCCAGTCCAGTTGACTGCAGTCGGGAAGATCATCGATGATAATAGGCAGTCCTGTCTTTCTCCTTCCTGTCTTCACTTCAAAGGCATCATCACTGAGCTTTCCATTGTGAGTCACTTGGCATGTAGCATCATATTGCATAGCATATAGCTGTTGAATGAGGTTGACAAAGGTTTGTGGCACTAAGATAGTAGTGTTGAAGCAGCTGCCAGATTACTTCTCGGTCGATGCTATCGAAGGCTTTCTCAAATCGATGAAGTTGAGGTAGAAAGTTGACTGCCATCCTATGCTCTGTTGTATGATGATGCGTAGCCTAGCGTTGCAATTTGATCCGCATATGATTTGTTCTCCCTGAAGCCCACCCTGTTCCGGTCATAAGAATGTCATTTACCTAACTCATAATGTTATGGCTCTTTGAGACTTTAATGGCTTATTTTATGTTTTAAGGATTTGATGCAGATATATTAGCCAATTCCAAGTAAAGCATCAACTAATCAATTAACTCTATCACCTACCCCTAAAGATGAATTCACTTCTTCGTTATCCTAACCCATATTGTCTGGTGACCAAGTCATATAAACGCACTTCCTAAATTAAAAAGCTCGGTACATTAATTCAGGTTTCGGATTGGTACGGATTTTAACGTATGTTTCATAGCCATCGACGAAAATAACTCCCAGTCAGCTATTGCATATATATAATGTACATATATATATCATCAACCTTTAAAATCACAACCATGAAAATATTAATTAGATAAATTTCCCTACATCTTCAGTGCCAATGGCTAGATGATAGGCGCTGTGCCCAATTATTTTCGCCGTACAGTGCCACTATGTGGAAACGCTTTATAACATTTTAGTTAACATAATTTTAGTTGGTTTTATTTCAGAGTGACTTTAAAGGTCACCCTAACAACTGCTAAGATGACCGATTACATCCCTCTATACCATGAGAAACTACCTTACCAGCCGAAATTCCGAAATCCGACTGGTTATTTCAACAGTTGCTGAGATGAACTTTCAATTCGCTTCTTATTTCATCGCTTGAAATACTCCCGACCGATAGCTGCTACCTTGATGTGGTGGTCGGGCTTGCATATCACAATGACCCAAGAACCTATGCTGGTGGAACACTTATTCCCTCGAGGGCCTAACATATCAGGAGGGTCTGTTGGATAGTGGTTAGACGAAAAGCAGTTACCGTTGTGGTGTAAATTACTACACTATAATGGGGGTCTGAGGGCAAAGTCGTACTGCTGCTAGTTGGATGGGATGTGACAGCAGCAAGGTGTTTCCCTTCGATGACCAGCAGTGCCATGTTGATGCTGCTTTCTCAGTGGAAGGGAGGGGGGTTAGAAAAGGTCGACCTCAAAAATAACACATTCCACCATACCCACGGTCTGCCGGACCGGCGGTGTTGGTTCATTTGTCGTTTCCTTTCAACCGACCGGCCCCAAAACAACAAAAGTTCAGAATAATCATACTCAAAAGGCTGAGTGTGATAGATCTCAAACAGATGTCCGACGGACTCTGTGGTCACACAAATCTCTTTCAGGTACCTTAATAAGAAATAGCCTATCGCAGTGTGGGCAGTCATGAAGTGTCAACCACCCTCACAACACGACCAGCACTGAAGTTTCCTCAGACTGCTTGAAATACTTTTCCATGACAACTCGTGAGACATCAGTTTGTCTTGGCAAAATTAGTTGACGTGGCAACATGCTCAAGGCGATTCCCGTAACGATACGAAAATTACTTCCAGTCGCATATCTGCTTTGTTGTCTTATCCTCCACATATGTATTTCATCTAAAAATCACACTCATTGTAAACCAATACTCTCAGTCAGTGCCGTTGCGTAATCACTAAGGTGAAAGAATAAATATCATTGTTTATCGTACTGTTTGCATTAATTTATTGATTGCAATCGTGAGGAAGCCTTGAATATGACCAAACAATGAATTGACATCCGATTAGGGGAACAGTTCAATTAGACAGAAAGATAAAATCACCGCAAAACCTCGCACATATGTGCGTCGGTTCAAGTTGCCACAATTCATAGTAATATACAAAAATCAAGTGGATTGAAAAAGGGTAATGTCAAAGTAGATAAAGTTGTTTGAGAGAATACACGGTTTGGAGGTTATGATTTGTGAAACTATTCACGCTTCAAGAAACGTCAACGAGTGGATAATTCTGCGCCACTGTGATCCATTTCCAACCTTGTCACCAAGAGTTTTCAACCACTGATTCTTTTTGTCTCAAGGATCCTATCCGGGTAGTCTACATCTGCTAAAAGATTCAGACCAGGCGTCAGGGACTTCATGGACTGGTGCCACGACTTGATCCTGCCACCCTGAACCCTCTTACAACCTAATCCAATTTCTCCTGACGTGGCATGTCGAGGTAGGCGGTGACTTGGCATGCGCAGTACATATCCAAGCCACCTCAGTCGACTGAGGTTCACAACCTCGTCGATCGACTTGCCTCTCATGCCTAGTACCCTTTAGCCGATATCAACATTGTTCACACGGTGATTCCATCAAACTCGAGCAGTGTTGCGTAGACGCCTGTGATTGCTTCATGTCTTCTACTTTCAACTGCCATGTCTCACAGCTGTACAACCGTACAAAACGGACTACAGTGCAGTAAACTCGTTCTCTGATAGATAGTCTGATATATCCCCACCCGGTACCAGAGAAGACAGGAATTAACAAACGTCAGACAGGCCTTCTGTATTCGAGCTGAGATTTTGTCAGTAACCGGCCCGTTCGGCCTTATGGTCGACACATTCCACCATTCCACTACTTATCATTAAAATGGAATTACTTTCAGACCAGTCATGCAGCATCATCTTACATTTGTCAGTTGCCAGTAAGACGCATGCCAAACGCACTCAAATTTGTGCTGAAGGTGTCCAGAAGACCCTGCATTTTTTCAGCCTTTTCACCCAGCAGGACAATATCATTTTCATACTCCATGCCATCTAGATGACCTTTAGGAATTCGGTTAGTCCCTATGAAGTCCGAGATACTTAAGGTTATGTCCATTAGGACATCTATAACAAAGTTAAATAGGAACGATGACAGTGTACATACATGTTTGACACCACTAGCTATCATCAATTCAGATGACATCTCTCCGATAGCCCTTATGTGACTGTGTGAATTCGAGTAGATAGGTTGGATTAGCGGTATGTATTTGGTCGGTACTCCTTTCACAGTCAGTCACTGTCACAACACCCCATAGTCGACACAGTCAAATACTGCCTCCAGGTCAAGAAATATGACAAGTGTCGACTACTGATTGGTGAGTGTATCTGTGTTCGAGAACCTGTCGGAGGGTTGAAATATGATTGTTGCAACTTCATCTAGGTGTGAAATATGCCTGGTTTTCTGGAGTTCACTGTTCTCGAACTGTAGTTGTGTCTTGAATAATTATGGATCTTTGGATCTTGGACACAATATTAGTCAAACTAATTCCCCTGTGGTTATCACAGGAAAACTTTCTTCTCTTCTTATGGACTGAGATGATCAGGGAAGTAGATTACTCCAACCTCTGATTTCAATACACTGCTAAGTACCCTCGTTACTTCAATCAGCATTTTTCTACTTCCATTCTTAAAATCGTCGAATGTACTATATTAAATTGGTCACTGTCCTCCAACGCTACCTATTCTTTATATACTTTGTATCGTGCAGTTAACTACCACTTCGATATAAAATGTACTCCTTGAAATAACAACTATGATCTATTTATCAGGCAACAATTAATCAGTCAACATCATATTCCAGTCAACGTTTTCTCACCAAAGAATGTAAGATTGTACTTCTGTTGACTTTTTCACCTAAATCTTATTGATGATTGTTAGTTTAACACAATTTTTAACATTTTACTTTTAATTTCTTAAATGTACATTTTGATTAAGTATGCATTCAGATTCACCATTGGATGCCAAAATTAAAGGTGTCGTCATCAAAGACATGCTGAATATATCTGGCCTTCATCTTCCAGAAACAGCTGAAGTGCACTGTCGTACTATTGTACCATCATGTTCATTTAAATATACAAGTAATACACCTGATCTAACAATGTATCAAAGTATTGATACTTCTGACATTGAAAATAATTCCTCTGCATTAAATGCAGATAATGTTGCAGGTATAAAAGTAAATAATAGTCAATCAAAAGATGGAGTTATTATTCGCCGTCCTATCAGAAGTGCTAATGATTTGGATAGTATGAAGTTAAAAAATGCTGAATCTCAGATTCATCGTCCAAATCCACCTAGTCATAGATGGTTACTGGATGAACGTTTATTTATTCAATTGACTAGTTCAGATGAGAAGGAGAAAAGAAAATACTTTAAAACACGTGCTTCACAATATGGTCTACCTGGAGTAAATCAGTACTCAACTAAACGTAATTCATCTATACCACTACAGTATAGTCAGAAATATTCTAAAATATTAATTTCAAGTAAATCCTCAATATCTCATGATTCTGATACAAGTAGTTCTTCAGAACTATCTTCATCTTCAAGTGATACAGGTGATGAAACAGAAACAGCTTGTTCAATGTCTCCACCAATTCATGTTAGAAATAATAGAAGAGATTCACCGTTGTCATCAGCATTACCATCTGGAAAATCAGCTCGATCTAAGGGAATAGGGCCTTCGCCTGATTTTAAAGTTAATAATCCTCCAGAGTTGAAGGTATCAGTAAATAAACTATACAATTCTAAGAAAGGAAGCTTATATTCAAGAAGTTCAGCACATAGTAAGTAAAATAATTAAATTTTACCCGTTAATCACGTATCAATGCATATTTTTAAGAAGTTTCAAATAGATATGCTTACCATGTTATTGAACACAACTAAAAATAGTCATATCCATACTTCTGGCAATTCGTACTCGTTTTCTTATACATATTGACACCACACTTTTCTACTTATAAGAAGAAGAAGCTTAAAAGATAGCTGTCCTTTACACGCATTTCTAAATTATGAAGATACCATAGTGTTATCAAATGGAAAGTATATGCTAAGCTAATACCCTAGAGGTATTTACGACCTTAAAGTTGACTTTTCTGGCCAGACATACTTTACAAACTTTTTACAGGCGTTACCAATCGATGAATTCAGTTGAAATCTGAATTGTGTTGTTAAGTATTAGTCATTTGTAAAATAAATACTCTTCCTTAAGATTGCCAGTCTCTGTTGTATTGTAAGCGCGAAGCAACCATATTCATTCACTTTCAGGTATATGGTATCCTCAAAGGTGCTGTAGAATCTCGTTGTCCAGCACAAATGATCAGTCAGGTGTCATTTATCTTTCTCTATACGAGTATTATATATTGAATATATATTGAATAAAGGAGGCCATCAAATATTTTAGGCGAACGTCCTTGTATTCTGAGGGTTCTGCAGTTACGCGAGTCTCCGCTACAATTATAGTATCACATTACCCGACAATTGATAAAAAAATATGATAGGAAGATGGTAAGGACTTCCATACAGATGGGTCAATTCATGTCACCACACTTAGTAATCGCACACGAACAGAGGAGATGGGTAGAAAAAGAATGACATTAAAGTAGAAACAGTTGAATGAAAGGAGATGGAATAAATAAATAAATAAAGTTCGGTGAAAACGCTCAAATTTTCGTAGATAGCGAAGAGCCTACACCTTAAAGGCACCCTCCCTAACGTATTATTTGGGTACAAACAGGTACTTTTAAAAGAGAATTAATTCTTCTCCGTTCCACTGCAGCAATGTTTGATGACAATGTGATATCAAAAGCAATATATTCAGCGAAGAGGACTCTTTTCAACGAATTTATTCTCAGGATGTGCATTCATATACATATGGTATTTAAAGACTGTAATCCGTGAGAAAGATTTAACTTAAATAATGGGGGGGGGGGGTTGAAACAATAATAATGGTGTATAGTAATGATGGACAGTGGCTAGCAGTGGAATCCAGGATGCGTATTTCGTTTTATTTGGGACTCATATGGTATATGCTATATAGTTAAGAACGTAGGCAGTATCGAGGCATCCTCACATGAGCCCATATGCCAACAGAGACTGATCAATTCGGTCCAGTGAACAACGGTGTATTACAGGCAATAACACCAGAACTATACCCGTCGCACATGAAGTGGATATTGTGGCTCGGTGGTGTAGTGGATTACGCTCTCGCGTTTGAAGCGAGCGCTCCCGAGTCTGAATCCCGTTGGGGAAAACATTCAGTAGGAGGCAGGTACGTCCACCTGACTAGTTCCAAATACGACGAAATGAGCATCCTGGATTCCACTGCTAGCCACTACTCATCATTACTATATAGTTAAGAACACAGGCAATAACGAGGCACCCGCACAGGAGCCCATATGCTAACAGAGACTGATCAATTCAGTCCAATCAACGACAGTGTAATACATGCAATAACACTAACATTAATGGTGGTTATAACTATAATGTTGCTGGTTGATGACGTAAAGGTCGAATGATAACAAAAAGGGTTACGTAAGACTCGAAATCGTTTATAAGATGCATATAGATTAATCAGGGTGAGAACGTTAATAAACAATCAATGGATTGGGTAATGTGAGTGAGACACGTTAATTGGAGTAAATTGAAAATGTTTTGTTGAAAAATGCGATCATATGTATACGAATGTACATCTTGCGAATAAATTCGTTGAAAAGAGTCCTCTTTGCTAAATATCTTGTTTTTGATGTCACTACAGTAATTATGAACGTACAATGTGATATACCTTTGTCCTTTGTTAGCTTCATAACAGTATACGTCAATTGAGATGATTTCTGTTCTTATGTTTTAAGTTAGTGTTTTCCAGGAGTAAGTGATTGTCAAAGCAAAATTTTAGATGTTCATCGTTGTTGTTTTGTTGACACAGAACGCCATGAATACCGACAAGATGCCTTTCTATTCACCTCAGATTTTATGCCTGATAATTGAAGTATCCCTATACTAGAACTGTATCTAAATGTTTTAATTTATGTAGCAGAACTGATAGATTTTCAGTAAAACATTTTTAATCTTAATTGGAGTTGGTAGACGTGTAGGTGTAAGTTGCAAAAAGCACTAAAAAGTGTCATCGTCCATTTCAGTTCTTACGCTTTCATTCGGCCGGTTAGCATACAGATGATTGTTGACTAGCTTTTAGTCGATTAGTACACTTTGCGCTAAATAAATTAAAAATTTACTTACACTAGCGAGTTCACCAGAAGAAGTCATCGAATTTCTAGGCACTCGTTAGGTGAACTCCACAGATTTCCTAAATTGGCCACATGAGATTAACTAAATAACTCTTACTAGATACAATGTTATTTACTAGATGGTATTTTGAACCAATTCAACAGCTATATGAAGACGCCACATGCCAAGTGATCCACAACGGAAAGCTCAGCGACGCCTTTGAAGTGAAGGCAGGAATAAGACAAGGCTGCCTACTATCACCCATGATATTCCTGATTGTGGTCGACTGGATCATTCAGCAAACAGTTAGGAGCGAGAAGGTGGGCATATGCTGTCTAGACCGATGAAAAGAGCCTAGAAGATTTGAATTTCGCCGCCGATGATGATTTATGTCTGATGTCTTGTGGCATAAACTCGAAGATCTACAGGCGAAAACTAACAAGTTGACAGAGGAGGCGAGGCAGCGAAGACGGGACTTCAAGTGAACGTAGAGAAGACAGGCCCATGCTGAAAAAAGACTCGAGGTGGCCAGACTAAAACATGGCACCAATGTATGAAGTCTCTGACTGTTGGTTTCAGCCATATGGGGCGATGCAGACTAGGTGGTTGGGGTACGCGGGACAAGAGGAACCAGTGGTTGGAGACTGACTCTAGGTGATGGCATGGCTGAGAACCGATGTCAATGGTGCAGATGTATGCATACATTATCCTCATCTTAACGACGCTATACCGAATCTCACCATTTTGTCATCCCTCTTTTCTTTCTTCTCGTACTTTATATTTCTTTTGACTGCATTCTCTTATCTCCATCTTATGCCTTACTGCCTTTTTACTTGATGTAGTGATATGAGGTGTGGCAACTTGGACCGTTACTCAGAAATGCCTGGTCCCATGTTGATATTGATTGATTGATTGATTGAGAGAAGACAGAGGTGATAATGATACCCAACCATCGCCACCACCAACAATAACAAGCTCCAATCACCAACGGGCGAAACCTAAAGGAAGTAGTCTCTTTCACCTACCTAGGCGGGGCAGCATCGTTTCATCTGCAGGCGGCACAGACGAGGATGTCAAAGCCAGCCAGGATCGGAAGGACAGGAAGACAGGTTTTCACTAATCTGAAATAATCAATGTGGAGATCTTCTGCACTCAGCACAAAGCATGAACGAGATCCGGATTTTCAACACCAACGTCAGTCAAGTCAGTGCTGCTTTATGATGATTCAGAAACTTGGCGTGTCACGAAAAGCACTTCCAACAAACTACAGACATCCATCAACTGCTTACGCTCGTTACTGAAGATCGGATGGTCGGAAGAATAAGCAACAAGGAACTCTGGGTGGCTGGCTGGCTGGCTGGCTGGCTGGCTGGCTGGCTGGCTGGCTGGCTGGCTGGCTGGCTGGCTGGCTGGCTGGCTGGCTGGCTGGCTGGCTGGCTGGCTGGAGACGAACCAACCAAGAACCTATTGCTCAATATATATGCAGAAGGAAGTGGAGATGGATTGGACTGGGCATACACTGAGAAGGCCGACTGGGGACATCACGCGCCAGACCATGTACGCACTCGAGTGGAATCCAAAGAGGAAACGAGGAAGAAATGAAAGCCTTTGGGCAGTCGTGGTGCCAGGTCCAAAAGACTGCAGAGAACAGAGTGCACTGGAGGCGTGCTACTGAAGCTCTATGTTCCACTAGGAATCCAAGGGGAAAATAATAATAATAATTTTGAGCCAAATTTATCGCTCAGAGTCATATCAAAATAATCAGTCACAGCTTTCAGTCTTCATTTTTATCGTCAAACAGCGCTTCCCCAACTGACGTCAGTCCATGATGAATTCTTCTTCTAAATTAAAAAAATCCCCATTCATCTCAAAAATACATTATTGTATAGTGCTTCATTCTTTCATTGGTGGTAGTAAAAAGTCTCAACTGTCTGTATTATGTGATGAATAATTTTCCTCATATGTGTTAGGTGTTGATTAGATGAATAGAGTTTCGTAATCATTCGCTCCCTTTACCTGACCGTTGGCATGAGCCATATGGGGAGATGTAGACCTGGTTGGGGTCCACGAGACGAAAGGAATCAGTGGTTGAGGTTGGTGACATGGCTGTAAATTGGTCACAGTGACGCAGATGTATTCATTCCCTGACGTCTAAGACTTGAAAGCTCACACTAACCTATATCTTCAGATTGTTTATTCTCTCACACTACTTTATCTACTTTGGCATTACTCTTTCTCTATCCACATGTTCTTTGTGTACTTCTGTGAAGTATGGCAACTTGAGAAAATTCACTTCCGTATGACGGTCTATGATGATTTTGTCTATCTGTCTGTCTGTCTATCTGCCTGCCTGCCTGTCTGTCTGTCTGGATTTCACTCTCTCCTAACCTAAAGTGTGACTATGAATCAGTATATTTTCAAAAAGTGATGCAGTAGATGACACTGTATCATATTGTGCTATATCAAGTTAACAATTTAATGTGGAATTATACCATGATTCTTAAGTTTTATGTATTTGTCTGTGAAACAGAGCAAACATCATCGGTGGCGAGCGACTTCAGAGTTTTGATATATGGAGTCTGTTGTCTGATTTGTCTTAGATCCAGATATTGAAAGCTCCAATATGAAATTAGAGGTGTAGTTTTAGGAAACTTGAATCGTCAGAAATGGTTGCAAGGTACGAAGCTGACGAAATCGTAGTTGATATAGTACTGGCAACAAGAACAAGCAGTAAAAGCAAGTTATTCATCGTAGACTGACATCAGTTCGAGGAACAAAGGAAACCTGGGAGCACTGGATAGCTGATTCATCCTAGTATGGGACTTCTCAGCAGTGCGCACCCACGATCCCGCCCTCAAGGGGTCGAACCCGTGACCTTCAGGTTCCACGGCCAGCGGGTTACCATTGAGCCACTGGGTCACAATCCAATGGTTCATATTTCCAACTTCTGATAGCTCACGATATAGCGTAGCCGCCACCCAACGTCATTGTTGAGTAACTGTCCTCACGACCATCAGGCTTTAACTCCATCGGTCGCGACTTCTCATTGGAACTTCGAGAATACTTCTCGGAGCTAGTCGCCAATGAGCACCAGTTCAAAGCCTGATGTTCGTGAGGACAGTTACTCAACAATGACGTTGGGTGGCGGCTACGCTATATCGTGAGCTATCAGAAGTTGGAAATATGAACCATTGGATTGTGACCCAGTGGCTCAATGGTAACCCGCTGGCCGTGGAACCTGAAGGTCACGGGTTCGATCCCTTGAGGGCGGGGTCGTGGGTGCGCACTGCTGAGGAGTCCTATACTAGGATGAATCAGCTATCCAGTGCTCCCAGGTTTCCTTTGTTCCTCGAACTGATGTCAGTCTACGATGAATAACAACTTGAAATATTTCCATATCTCCACAACTCCCTCAAAGAAAAGAAGTGTAGGTTATAGCTAAATGGTCTTCGCATGCAGCTGTAAGCATTTATGTGACTCATATATGCCAGTTACATACAACCTTTAAGATTACTCTTCATTTGAAGTTGTCACCGTAAATCTGTTTGGCCAACGTCTTCCAATAAGAGAAGGCACTATCAGCTGGAAATACTGGATATCCTCGTAATATTTAGTGAAGAATATATGACCATTAAGCCAAAGACTTTTCTTAGCTTCTAGTACTTGTGGAGCACTTACGCTACGTAAATGATGTTGACAAGATTTCTGACATAGAGTTATTCTGTTCTAAGTTGAAAACAGTTTTCTTCTTACTTGTTGCCGTAATTGATCGGAATTTCACCGATTCACACTGCAGACAAGATTTCATGTGTTTTTCTTGCTTCGATGAATGAGTGTTCTTTTACATATGATCCTTTTCAGCGACTGTGTTCATCTACGTACAATGTCAATGTTGAATTGAGAACCAGTTGAGAATACCTGTGACAAATGCTTGTTACGTGGAAAAGCTTTACTCGTTTCCTATTCTTAACTATTTCTATACCTAATAATCTAACCTTTTATAATGTTCTTTTCTTACACCTGAAGTATATTTTATATAATGAACTTGTTGTTTGTTGCTCTTCGCATGCCGTTAAGGTGTTTTCTTGTGATCACTTTCAAATTGTGTATATTAACAGACTGCTGTTGATATATATTATGAACATGAATCACTTCAATGCGAGTTAGTTTATAGACGAAATTTTTTCTGTTTATTAAGTTAGTTTCCATTCGTTAACCACTGCTATGCAAACAGTTAAACTTACACCTTCATACATCAATCTTACTTGAGTGTTACCAAGTTACCTATACAATTTCGATGTATCATTGTTCGCTTATCATCAAAACTGAAATGTAGCCTGGTGTGAATCGATTAAGGTTGGCAACCGTGAATAGTATTTGCGTATATTTGAAAATATGACTTTTTTTTAAAGTTTAGTTTCTAAATGAGATTATCGGAGATAGTAGTCGTGGTTCAGCAGACTGTTGTTATTGATACTGGTTAATGACTGAAGGAGAAATAAAGGTCTGGGTTGCAGTAGGAATTCAAACCAGTGACCTCAAGCTCACTGGTTTCGTGCTCTACCAACTGAGCTACAAGAACTAGATCTTCATCTGACCTTAACTTCACTTCAACCAGGGAGGGTTTTGCCTGGTTAACCATTTGAATCCGTGAAATGTAGCACTTTAGATGTAGCGCGTGTATAATACATTCTATCTTTCATTCAAACTGATTTAAATGACTGAAATTTCTTTTCTCTTTGCCTTTTCCTTTTTTAGGAATCTCTCCGAATATTTTAAAAGGTGTACGTTGCAAATCATCAACGTGTTATAAGAATTTGAATAGTCCAAGTTCTCTTTCGTCATCAAATACACCACCGCATGTAATACTTTCAAATGCAACCAATGAGATATTAGATTGTCTTACACCATCAGATGTACGTATTTTAATTTCTATGATTGATGAACTGGAAAGAGCAGGTGGCTTCCATTGTGTCTTCCCTCCAAAGTCTCCTGGATTGGCTGTTAGATACTTAGCCTTTTTTGAATCACCTAGATATGAAAACTTATTATGTATAGCATATTTACAAAAATATGGCCAAGATAAAGAAGAAGGTCAGTTGATCTCATCCTACTTATATACCTGTTATTATAAAGTCTTAATAGTTTTGTATATTTGCCTGGCTGACTTCTTATCTGCAGTAAATTAGAATAGAATTTGCACAGATCAGAGTGATCTAATCACCAGAGAGTCGTTTCACTCGTTTGAGGCCGAGACCGTCAGTGGTGTAACCAGAAAAATTCAGCACATAGAGTGGTTTCAAACTACTTAAGTTGTTCAGTAGTAGTATCTTTCATTAGTTCGTGACACTTTTGTGTCAGACATCACACCTCATTATCTCGGATGAGTGATTTTCAACGGAAATCCTAGTGATACCACAGTTATACAGTTGAGAAACTACTCAGTGGGGAGAAATGTCGATGTGGACCGTGCAATTTGTAAATCATTTGCAAATTGATCATTCTATTTCTGAACTACTTTTACTCAATTATCCTAAGCGATAAGTGCTCTTAACACTGATAGCTTTCACATTTGTTGACTAACAGCCAAATCTGAGAGATTTTAGTTCCAATTATAGTGAGCACAAGAATAATAAAACACTGGCTTTTCAGATCACTGCAGGGCTCCATGATACTTTCAACGTAGATTTCAGCGGTCTACATGGAAGCCCTTTAAAAGTTGACTGAGTTTGGAAGTGTAAGTTATCACGATTTATCCAGTAAGTGTAAATCGAATATGCCTGGGAGGACATATGAATTCTGTGCTGAATTCTGACACCATATTAAGTAGGGTTGTAACCTGAAGGATATAAGCTCGCTTAACATTGTGGTTGGGGATGAATAGGAGTCATGAAACTTCTATTTGAAACGTCCTACTGATTTGGTACAGCTGTTCACCACTAGATATGTAAAAAAGAGGTTTCAAGTAGCAGTCTATTTGCCAGGATACACATATCAATTGATAGATTTCAGCCCATATTACAGACTAGAATATCGTATTTGATTTGTGCATTTTGTATCAAGCATTGACTATTTAAGATAATGATGTACAGATATGATCAGCAAACTGATCTGAAATCTTTGTTTCACTTTTTGTGAATCTTTATTTCTAAGATCCACTAAGTTTTATTTTCATCAATCGAATTATTCGAATAGTAGCCATGTAGAACATCAAATTCAAGTGTACTGGTTTTCGGTGATACAGAGGTTTAAGGCAATATTTTGTTGCTAGTCGTTATTAAACATATAATTCTATAATGTTTGGAATTAACTTTAGGACTATCAGTTCTCATTTTGTCAATACTTTACTCTTTTCATCATCAAACTGACTGGATAATCTACGGGTTGAATTTCCCAATCAATCACGGTGACGCAGATGCAAAAACATTCTGTTCATATCTAACTCTGGTTATTATATCTTTATTACTGATATTCTTGTCATTTCATTTTCCTCTTTCATCGTGACTTTTCGCTAATAATACTTTTAATTTCGCTATTTTTCTTCCTGTTAACTTGGTTTTTGATATGGCAGTTTCACATATGGCAACATGGATCGCTACACAGTTGTGCTAAGTGCTGTATCGCTTATATCTGTCAGTCAGAACCGGCGCCAATTAGCAGCCAAGTATCTATAAATAATAGATCCCGGTTACATTTTCATTTAGGTTCTTAAAAAATTCACTAGGAACTTTGCGGTGCGATTCACTTTTCTCAGTGTTCTAGGAGGCTATAAGTAACATGAAGTAAGGAAGTGCAGCGCGGTTATTTGGACTAATACCATAGGTACTTTAGGAAGGTTGTCAGGGGGTTACTGGCTAGACTAGATGAAATGTTAGATAGTGTATTGAGACCATATACGATGTCTTTCGATTGGTTTTGATCACTTATTACTGTGGTTTTCATAAAGGTTGAAAAATTCTGTAACACCCACAGTCTGATGAGACGTATGGTCTAAAATCCTTCCTTCGATAACCATTAGACATTTGAGTGAAGGTCAGAAACAGGAAACCTGAGAAAATCAGGAAGGTTTCACATCTGGTCGTAGGTGTGTCAACCAAATATTCACCTTTCTCCAGGTTCTGAAACGTCGACATATCTACGCCTACCAGCATCTTGTACTAACTGCACTTCTCAACCTGGAGGCGGTATTCGACTCTGTCGACTAAGCGGTCTTACGACGATGTCTCTTTCCCAAAAAGGAGTTTGGGGAAGTGCATCACCGTTTTGGAGGGTTGTTATCACACAAAACTACTTAGTAAACCTACAGTACGCAGGCGACATAGTTCAGATGGGGAAATATGCTGATAGGATGCAGCCTACTAAACACATTGAATGGCAGCTTGAAAATTTTCGCAGTCCATCTCCTACCACTTTGCTTTAGTACTGGTCTGTGTTGATGTTTCGCCTAACAAAAAGAAGTGAACTGGTTCAGCATGTTGAGCACTTCACTTTGTAGAGACGTCAGATCAGCCTTGGAGGATCAGTGACTGATAAAGTTTCTGGACGGATATAAAAAGGTCGATCGGCCTTCCCCAACCTACGCCAGTCATGATATGGCCATGATATCTGACTGCTAATTAAGAGTCGAGTGTGCTGTACTGCATTTCACTAAGCTCTGTCATGTGGCTGTTAAACATGGACACTAAAAGTAGGTGACATGAGAAGGCGTGAAGTGTTCGACCACCATTGCCTTTGTAGTATGGATAATATGCTATGACAGCACCACCTCAGTAGTGTATAAGTCAGGTGTAGAGTTTCAGATAAAAGAGGTAAATCAGTTTTATGAGGCTGGAAAATGTGCTAGGCGTGCCTAGTCACCATTCCTCCAATCGTGCAATCTTATCGGAAGTAGTTTCAGGCTGAACAATTGGTATCGGCAATCAGACTAGAAGTCTGCATCAGGCCATAAAGTTTCTGACTTTTGGTGTGAATTAAGTAGGGGAGTGATGACTTCTTAATTGGAAACCATGTAACAACGTAAATTGTTGGTTGGAGATGTTAGGTGATACGGTTTACAATCTTTGGCAGTTCTAGAGATGTATCTACGCATTATCTTCTTCCTAGTCATCATATTACATTTACTGCCCTTCCCCTCTACTACCTTTCTTTTTCCTCCTGTGTTCTTCGTCTTGGTTATTTGTATCTTGACGTGCTAATGATTGTTAGGTGAAGTTGAAACACAACAGAGTACTACCAGATTTTATGTTCTAGACTTCTATTGTATCTTCGGAATCCAGGAGCGTATACAAAATAGTATTGCTTCTTCTTTAGGAGTGTAACACTGTGACTTTTATGCAGCTGTATTATGATTGTGTATTTGTTAACGGATAGATAATCCAGCATGCTTGAATATTCATCGTGAGCTAACAGAAGTTGGAAATATGGAGCATTGGATTCTGACCCAGTGGCTCATTGGTAATGCGCTGGCCACGGAACCTGAAGGTCGCGAGTTCGATCCCTGCCGGTGGGGTTGCGGGTGCGCACTGCTGAGGAGTCCCATACTAGTCGGACGAAACAGCTGTCCAGTGCTCCCAGGTTTCCTTTGTTCCTCGAACTGATGTCAGTCTACGATGAATAACAACTTGAAAAAAATACTTTGTTAAATTGCTAGAGATGAAATATATCGATTTATAATATAGTACTTCTATTTCAGTGAATTACTTTTTTCTTGTCTATTTATTCCAATTAAAATGTATAATAGTTTATGTGTCTAAGATGAACTTGTCATGAAATTATTGAAGTCGTTAGACAATATTATGAATTATATCCTCTATCTGAAGATGTTTAAAACGTTTTTAATTGTCTGTACAATAAATGTTATACTCCAAATCAGAAATGAAATTTACCGAAAGAGGAATAATATAGCCGCGGAATATGAATGAAATTTTTTTGATTTACAAAAATACTAACCATGATTTTAGATTATTTTACAACAGGATATAAAGAATGAGAAATAGTCCAGCTTCCTGATTTGAAGCACCAAAATAGGAGATGGTGGAACTATGTAAAAGAATATTCGCTCCTAAATTACGTAGACTGGTTACCTCTTAAATGATAAGTGTTTTGACTGGATAAACTACAAACTTATTTACGCTAAAAAATAACTATGCCTAGATTATAAAATACTACTAGGAAAGACAAATCTTTTACACTTAGCAAACATTTTTAGCACCTTGATCGAAATCGAAAAATGTTAATCGAATTGAATCTAACTTACTTAATGCACATTCATTTGATAGGCAATAAGCTACACTCGTTGTGCTAGGGGTGATGATACTACCTGTTTTTCTAAATTTTGGTTAGTGGAGCCATGTTCGAACTTATGACCCGCTAGCTGAAAGTCATCTTTGTAAACCAATAAACCACAACTCCAAATCTTGATCGATGAACTTTGATTAACTTTCAGAATATGAATATGCCATGGATTGTTATCATATTGATCAAACAGTACTGATTTCCCACACCTTTATTCTCCCAATAGAACTTTACTTATTATTAATATTACTGTTACTATTATTGTTATTATTATTATTATTACTTGTTATCTTTTTCTACCTCACTGGACTTAACTAAGTGAAAAGACGTTAACAGTGTGTCAGCCAATATATTCATGTGTGCATTTGAGAATTTGGGTGGCGGTTGCGCTATATTGTGAGCCAACAGAAGTTGAAAAGATAAACTATTGTCCTAAGTTCAATCCTTGGCGAGGTCGTGGGTGCGCACTGCTGAGGAGTCCCATACTAGTCGGACGAAACAGCTGTCCAGTGCTCCCAGGTTTCCTTTGTTCCTCGAACTGATGTCAGTCTACGATGAATAGCAACTTGAGACATTTGAGAATAACAGTTATAAATTACTTTACTTTCTAAACTCTAATTATATATTTATTTGAATCTTATCCACTTATTCTTTTAGGTATTCAAATGTTACGTAAAATTTGTGAAAAAAGAATTCATTTTAAATCTTCTGTATACGGTGACGAGATTGCCTGGGAACACCACTGGCAAAGATATCGAAAGCGTAAATCGAATTATTTGAAAGAAATGATTGTAAAGCAGACAGGAATTATACCATCCAAACTAAAAGCATAAATAACTGTTGATTAGTTTGTGTATAAAATTGTATTCTTTATAGATATGTATTAATGTATATGCATGTATATGTCTTAGTTTTGTAAGACTCTACTCTATGATCATTCAGAATGCGCTTGTCGAAATGATAAAGCATTTCATGTATGTATCATCAAATTTTTATATGGTTATCGCATAATCACTGTGGTAGACATATACTTATATAAATAAGCAAATCTATCAGATAGTATTCATGGTGAAGACCGTTTCGAAACTCTTTTTCTTTATTTGTTTTCTAAATTCATTTCTCTTTCAAAAAATCTCAGGTTCTTTTTTGTGTAGTTTTCATTATGATAACAGATATAAAACATAATATTTGTTTTCATATGTAACATTTTTATTGGGTATTTTTGAAAATGATAAAACGCTAGATATTTACTGAGGTAACAAGATGATTTGAATGTATTTCTTTACGATATTATTCGATAAACTACTTTTAAGATTGTTCACCACATTCATATTGTATGCTTTACCACTTTCATCCTCTTATTTTACCACTCTCTTTGTACTTCAACAATACTGTTGTGCAGGTATATCGTAGTAAATCTTGCATAATAAAGCGATATCAGTAAAGAAGTTCATCAGTACTATTTTATTACTTCTGCTTGTCATTATTACAAAATAACTATCACTAAAGAAAGGCAGAATTACTTTACTTTATATTTGTCTCTATCTATACATAAATTATATTCTAGAATTATATATAAAATGACTTTTCAGCCTTATCAACTTTACGATGGAAGTTAAGTGCAACTCAGAATTTCAGTTTCTTTTTAGTATTTTCTTGAGAAGAAAAATTGATAGCACTCTTGCAAGCTCCATCTATGGAAAACGAAATAGACAGTATAATAATTCACAAAGTTCATAACCACTAACCCAGACAATGAATTTAATTCATTCTTTTCGCAAGAGATTTGGGAGAATTTGCACAAATGACAACAAATCAAAGGATGGAAAATCTTCAAAAATTACTTATTCATAATGGTTACTCTCAAGATTCATTACAAAGAATATAAAGCTTAAACAGCAATAAAAGTGAATTCTTACTGCTTTTAAGATATTATTGATGAATATTGCATTCAAAGGTGACAGCGCAGGTAAGGGTAATTCGAAGAACATTCTATGCTGTCTGTCTTCTCCAGCCGACAGTCGATTCAGCGAGATATGAAAGGCGAGTTGGTGTTTTACACTACACCCATGTTCATTTATCAGTTTACCTGTTATTGTGCAGCTTGACATGTTGGCCACACATTGCAAAATCTTTCCAAATACGTCTACGAGCGCCATCGTATCCAGCTATCCAGAGAATGTAAGTCATGCAACCGTTTTATGCTGAGCTATTTTACCAACTCTGGTCTGTCACTTCCTCACAGTCTTCTTTCAAAATCCTACAAAAAGTCAAATCGAACAGCTCAGAATGAGTGTGGACTCGTCATTTATGCATGACATAGGTGTCGGTAATCCAAAACCCGAACTCTGTATACAGAACAGGTGCATCCATTTTCTAATTTTGCAATGGTCATCATCCCTCTGAGTTTCATCATTGAGGAATTGTTGATATTCAGTAATAGACGAAGAGAAATGTCCTTCTTGTGAACATTCAGGAGGCTATAAAGTTGTGGGATCACAGAGCCCGGTCGTTTTAAATATCCGAACAGGTCACTGCTAATGATCAACTCGTTTTTCTTTTTTTTTGAGGATATTGATCAGCTTCTGCTCAGTTTATTCAGTTATATCCTTCTGAACAGTAACTTTTGGAAGTTTACTTTCACTTGATAATATGAAATACAACTTCGCAACATAATCATATCGGTCCATGAGGAAGATACTAGAACCTTTAATGTGACGGACCAACAGAAAATCTTTCTTTGTGAAGTCGTTTAGTTAGGATCTCTGCTCATTTTATAATAATCTACAAGTACTCGGTCTTGTGAAACACGATCCGGATTTTCAACACCAACGTCAAGTCAGTGCTTCTGTGTGATGGTTCAGAGACTTGGCGCGTTACGAAAGGCATTCCCAATAAACTACAGACATTCATCAACAACTGCTTACGCTGGCTCGCTACTGAAGGTCAGATGGCCAGAATAGTTAGAATAAGCAACAAGGAGCTCTGGGAACGAACCAACCAACAACCTATCACGCAACAAATATGCAGAGGGAGGAAGTGGAGATGGATTGGGCATGCACTGAGAAGGCCGACTGAGGACATCACGCTTCAGGCCAGGCTCTCGAGTGGAACCCCGATGGGAAGCGACGAGTTGGATGTCCGAGGTGAGGGTGAGATGGAGAAGATGGTGCGAGGAGGAAATGAGAGGTTGTGGGCTGTCGTGGAGTCAGGTTCAAAAGATTTTGGCGAACAGAGTTCACTGGAGACGTGCTAGTGAAGCCCTATATTCCATTAGGAACCCAAGGGACTAATAATAATATAATATAATAATACTTGGTTTTGTATCAATATCCTGATTGCAATAGTTTACAATTGTTGACCTCAGCTGTTTTAGACTCTTGTTAGAATCTGAAAGAAGTTTGTTGGATTGATTAAACTTTCAAACTGGGTTTTGATATGAAGGTCGTCAGAACACGATGAGATGTAGCCGAACTTTGGGCCAAGTGATGATGCTTGTATTTGGATGGTAGATATTTAAGTACTGGAGAAGTTAGATACGTATTCCTCTGGCTGTTCTGGGAAACTTTTTCATCTTGACACTGTTTCGCAATTGTACCTTCGTATTCTGTGGATTGTACACGTCCTTCATCTGTAGTTCGTATAAAACATGTTCTCTTAGTGAAATGTTACATTTAGCCTCAGTGAATTGTGATTTTATTTCAATATGATTGTGTTAGATATGTCAGAGAATGGTGATTTCTACGAAACGCTTTTCAAAATGGTCTTGGTTATTAACGTTTTCTTGTAGAGTTTTTCAGGAAAGCGGTTAGTGCATTCGCTATGGCCAGTTTGACAGAAAAACGCAGAAACCTAGAGCATTTCATTTTGATGGCCTAACATTGACCTATTAGGCAATAATATTGTGTAACTGTGTGCTTTATCAGATAAACATGCCTAATATGGAGTTACCTTCTACTGTAGTGCCCAATTGTTTCACGTAACTTCGATATTTTCTCATGAACATTTTCAGTAGCCATCTGGTAAACTTTGTGGAGTCATAGAAGTAGAAAACTATTTATCAGAAAACCTGGAAAAGGAGTATTCTACAACCGAGAAGCGCATACGAGGAAATATTTGTTCTTATCCTTTGTTGACTTTTACTACCTAATGAATCGTTTGTAGCTATCTTCGCCACATCTAAAGCAAATAAGTGACAGTTTGGTTTATTATGTTGTATACATAATGTACTCAGCAGTAATGATACATAACTATCCGGGTTTTGTTGGCATTAATAATTCAAGTGTACTGTGTTAACTAATGATTTTAGTGTCGTAAACAAAGATTAAATCGGTGAACTGGATCTACTTTGATGCATCAGTGATCAAAGTAGTATTTTCTTATGGAAAGTTCTGTCTGATGCATTTATATGTATTCGTCACTCAAGAGTAACTCATTCAGTGTTGTCTAGTCTTGATTGCTGACGGAATTCTATCTATCATTTCGTAATGTGGCCACCAAGCTAGGAGACGCCATTGTAGGGAACTTTAATAGACGCCAGTTAGTCCGAGGCGATCGGTAGGAAGCCCTGAACCTAGGTTTCGTGTTTGTCGGCACTCGTAAGTAAGGTGTATCGGCAATCTTAGAGCTAATGTCTTCTGTGAGATTCGAATCCGTGTCACTCAATGCTGAAATCAAAGGGATGTTACCACTAAACTATTCGACCCGTTTGATGTATCTGTAGTTTAGTTTCTTTAATCACAGTCAAAAACCAGATGTCAACACCATTCACTTGGTGATCATATCAGTGGTGATTAAAAGTCACGCTCTATGTAGTCATCATTATTAAAGGCTGGTTTACTACATATCCAAAGAGCATAAACAGCATTTTGTTGGTAAATCTTATACTAGAAACTTGTCCATAACTATTGCTACAAATATCACAACTATTTATAAAGGGTTAAGACTATGATGTCAACTCCGTTTCGCATAGTTGTAACACTTGCACATAAAAACTAGTTTAAAACACTACCACCACCTTACATATGATACATGTTAATTATGGATGCTAAGTGGAATTTCCCAATGAAAATTGAAGTACTAGTCAACGATTTAAAATCAGAAACTTCCGACACAACTACCTAGTTATGGCATTATGTTCATCCTACTTTGCGACTATGCGATATTCTAGACGGTACCATGTTGTTACAGATACTGATATATTCCCCACCGAACGTTGACAGTGAAAGTCAATGCCATTTCTGAAAAGTAAATTTAGTGTATTACCTAAGGAAAAATATAACTACAAGCAAAGTCACTATCTGAGAAATCAAGTAAGAAATAACAGTCGCAGCTTTATAGCGAATGATATTCAAAAGACGAAATTTTAGACGGGAGAAAATGGAATGATAATTGAAAAATAAAGTTCATTCCACATAACTTAACATGGAGTCATTGAAGCACTTGAAACTAGCCAGTCTCTTGAAAGGAATCCGAACAATTAATGAATGATCCTGAGGACCAAATAGTTGAATAAATCAAAGTGTGCATTCAGATGAATACAGAGATTAATATTACGACTTTCCACAGTCTTCTACATATGAATGGCACAAGGACGACACATCTGAAAAAACTGACGCCATTACTGCGTTAGAATACGTACTTTGTCCTGATACTGAAATGCACTCGACAGTCCTCACACAGTAAGCAACGAGTCACACCTATTGTGTATGAGCTAATGACACTATCCGGTTGTTCAAACCTGGGTAAGTGGAGTTGGGTTCGGACCTATGGCATTCTGGTTAGAGCCCCATCAACTACACCAAGTAAGTGCAGATCCTGACAGCAGTGCAATTAAATGCTAATCTAGCTGAAGATTACTTTTAACGAGGTTTAAACTCAAAGAGTACCCTAAATATTTTGAACCTCACGCGAATATAGTTATCGAGCGGTTACTGACAATCTGCATAAGAAAAGTAACTAACGGTCTTACTTGGCAACTTAGGAATATCAGATTATTTGCTGTAACAGAACAATTGTAAAACAATATCAGAGGTATTTTGAGTGACCACCATTAAGAGGGAAGAAACATCCATAAAGTTTAACCCTTTTGTGCAGGCTCGTGTACTAAGCAACGAGTCAAACCTATTACGTGGTGCTACCTGGCTCTGATTATATAGGGTGGGGTTCGAACCCGATAGTTGATAGTCAGTCGCCTTGATATGCAGCTCCATTCTCTTAGCAAATATCCCACTATCTCTTTGACCAGTTCGGTATGTTGTTATGTCCAGTCAAAGTTTTCATGTTCCATTATTGAGGACGTTGACTCTGCCAGCGTATGAAAATCCTATTCTAACACTATTATCATTGAACCAATTAATTCCGAGGGGATAGAAGCCCTTTGACGACATTTCCACTAAAAGAAATTACTTGCCAGAATGTACAAAGTCAAAAAGGAATAGGCAGACTGATCAAATTATAGCAAATACGAAAGATTGGTTAGCTGACATCAGTATCATGCAAATTCGGCTAGTTGTTGTTTCCGCCTCGAGTATAGCTTAACCCTAAGACTGCAGGTCTACTGACAAGACTATTTTAAACGAATACAGAAGCCAAAGTACAACAACTAGATTCTTGAAACAGTCGATTTTGTCGAAGCCTTAGCTATAAAGAAGTTTGGACCAGCATTGTGTTAAAAAGCAATTTGTTATGACATTAAATCTCCATTTGTAACAGCTTTAATACCAAGGGTTATTAAAATACTATTTTTCCCTTTCCACTTATCATTTAACGTCTAAACTAATAAGCTGACCCTTTGCTAGCATCCACTATCTTTTTAATCCATTTACTCTTTGTTATATTTCATGTAAATAGACATGACAAGTGAGTGATTGGATTGTTCAAATGCGCGGTGCGAATACATAACGCGTTTCACATAAACTACGTTATCTTAGTTTTTTGTCGGAATAGCAAATGTCATGGCCTCTATCCAATTCATAAAGACAACACAAAACTACTTGGCTTTCATTTACTGATAACAAAATCATGAAACGAGATGAGTATATAAATACTTCAGTATGTACACAATTAATGAGAAAAACAATGAAGTTAAATAAGATAAAAGAATTTATCTGAAATATAATGGATTGAAAGTAACCCAGTGAGATTTCGGCTGACGTTTTGCTTGTTCACATGTATTGAACAGTGATTTATACACAGAGCTCACACTGGGATCTTCTTGAATGGATTTACTAGCACTACAAGTTTCTACTGGAGGTTGTGGGTCTGAGATGGGTTTTTCAGATTCTGACGATGGTTCCGTTTTTTTCGTGTCTTCTAATCCTTCAGACGATATTGCTGGTTTTTTCGTCGGAATATTCCTTCCTTCACTTGACTGTGACTTTTCAGAAATACAGTTGACTGAAGATCTTTTGCGATTCTAAAATATATAAAACAGCAAAGTATGCTTTAACGGTGGCAATAATAACAAAACTACAATTAACTAAATGCCTATCAGAATAGAAAAGTGTTATATATAAATGAAGGGTGATATCAGAAACCAAAATTACACTGTGTATACATTGTATGAGCTCTACACCAACAACCAGAGGTATCTTGCTACATACTTTATTGTGACTAGCATTCTCTTTTTTTTGTAGCCTGCTCAAAGTTATATCTTAACATCCAATAAATAATACTATATCAGTGCTTTGAACCAAGTAAACCAATTTAATACGGAACCATCTTTTGCCACAGCAACCAAGCTCCACCTCTACTCACTTCATCCAGTTTGAACAGCCTACACTGTAAATCATTGGTGCTGTTTGGCTACATACAGGTGACATTTTGCAAATCTCTAAGATGAAATTGATAAGCCTAATGTTTAGTTGGAAATAATGTGCTGAGTAGAGGACATTCACCTCTTTTTCAGAGCGAATACTAAAGAACATAGTAGTTTTAATGCATACGTTTGAGATTTGTAGTCAGTAGAAGAGGAATGTTGCAATTAAGAAAATTACGTAATTTATGATACGACAAAAGAATTGTTGGAGAAGTGTTTCAGTTGAGAATACAGAAATCAAACGAAAAGGGTTTAATTATCCGTAAGTATAAATGACAGATATGAAATAATCCATCCGTGCAGTCTATATATAGAATAGCCATTTCTCTGACAATAAATTTAAAAGATCCAATGTATGATCGCGCTTCAAAAACTTAGTTAACCACATTTCACAAGTAGAAAGCAAGGTTATATTGGCTTCAAATGCACAGGAACACAAAGAAAAATTAACGTAGAACGTCTCACGGAAGTGCATCAGTTTAAGCTGTCACACTTCACAACAGCATGCAAAGAACAGTGAGTTAAAATATAGTGATATCAAAGATATCAAAGCTGCATGAGAAGAAAAGGAATTTGAAAACCACGCTTTAGAAGACGTCAAAGAATGCATACATCGGTGTCATTGTGACCTATTACTAATCAATTCATTAACGATTTCCAACCAGTGATCCTGATTGTCTCGAAGACTCCAAACATGCAGTTTAAACCTCCCTACACGGTTTAAACCAGCAGTCACAGACTTGAGATAACACCGCATATCGAGGCAGGCGATGGCTTGGCATGCGTAACACGTTTTAACGCCACCCCAGTCAGATAAGGTTTCCAGTATTACCAACTGGGTTGTATTCCTTTTCATATAACTTACGTCTAATTTCAACATTGCTCGCACAGTGACTCGATATAAAGCAAGCGATATGTTACGAAGACACTGATGGTCAAAAGCCTGCAGCACTTTTGTCTTCTACCTTCGACGATCACGTATAACAACCGTACGATGGAATAGTGAAGCGCTGTTTACTTTGCTTCTATGTTCATACGCAGCCGGGTGTTTAGGCCGCACTGTAAGTTGTGCCAGCTGGCAAGTACTGAAGGGGCTTTTTGAATTCGAGCTGAGTCTTAATCAGTAACCAATCCACTCCAGCTGAAGTGGTCAACATATCCTACCTCTATCCTTAGACGAGGAGTCAGTGCAGACCAGTCCTGTAGCATTGTCTTAAATATGACAGGTGCAAAATGAATGTTAGACATATCCGGGTTTCCGTTTAAAGCACCAAGAAGACTTCATTTTTTCAGCTCCTTCGCCTAATGGGACTATGGCGCAAGTGTTTACTAAGAAAGCCAGGTCTCATATGGAGGGTAAATCACAACCCTAGATGAGTGGGAAGCGAATAAGGTCATCAATTAATAACCTTCAATGTGATCAATTCTATCACATGAATGCCAAGTCGTTGGGCATACAGTTATATTACCTTTAAACGCCTCGTGAGCCTTTATATGGCTGCAAATTCAATCAGAACGAAAGCATGTTTGCGCACTATGTAATAGGCCATGTGTATTGTATGAAGGTTGATGATATTACCAGGCTTCAAAAACATCCGGAAGCGAAGTGGGTTTTGAACTTGTGACCAACTATTTGGAAGTTGAGTACCCAAACTAGTGAACCACAACTCCGAGTTCGAACCAAGAGCCTTAATTTGCGTAATATATTTCCTCAGTGAATTTCCTACAGTCAAACACCTCTACAATACCTCGACTTATGAAGTCGACTCCCGTCTTTATGTCAAGCAGTATGGCAAGTGTTGGATGCCAGTCAGCACCCCAACTGACAGCTGCTACATTGATGCGATGGTTGGGCTTGAACATCCCAATGATTCAATGAGCTATGCTGGTGGGAACATTTATCGACTGAGGTCCCATCATTCGAGAAAGGTTTGCTGGACGGTGGGTAAGACAAAAAAACACTCACCGTTATGTTGTAAATTGTTATACTATCGTGTAGGTTCAAGGGCGAAATCATACTAGTACCTGGATAAGATGACAGCAGAAGGGTGTGTCCTGTGGATGACCAGCAGCCCATGTTGACGCTAGCTTCCCTTTGGGAAGGGGAGTCAGAAAAAGTTGACCACAAAAGCAGCAAAATACCCCTGTTCTGAGATCTTCCAGTGTCGGCAGTATGCGTACCCTAATCGGATTTAAGAGAATCGAAGTTAAATCTCCAACTTTCAAACAGGTCGTGCATAGCAGACCTTAATTAGATATCTCTTAGGCTTTGCCATTGCATACCACTGATGCGAATACAATTTGTTTTTCAGGCGGCTCAAGAAGACGTAACCTCCATAGGTATGAGCAGTCAAACAAACAGATAAAACCAACATAGGACCTTGCACACAAGTCCCCAGACCTCATAGTATCATACACAGAACAAGTGGATAGGAGCGCCAAACACTAACACAACTCGAGAATTAGATCGTCAATGATACCCCACATTTCTGCTTTCTAAGCTTTCGTCATACCTTCATGTTAATAATCGTAGGTTACCTTTGGTTTTCTTCAGCTCCACACCCCTGCATATTCATTCGAGGTTAGAGAATATCCGTAGTCTACTGAAACCGTGTTCCAAACAATATATAGTAGCTTTCAATATCCGCACCCTCCGACAGATCGGATAGGCTGCGTTTAGCCAGAACTCTGGCATTCGAGCCATGGAAGTGCACTGTACAATTTAGTGAAACACGTTTACCGGATCCACGTGTGCTTATTCACAGCCTTACCCCACGAAACCCCAGCTCGGAAAAGGAGGGCTCTTCTGGTATTTCACAAATTGCGCAATCCCTAGTGTCAGCAAGATATTCGACTACCTGCTAAACGACAAACATACTGCGCTGCAGTCCGCTATCCTAATATACAGTTAAGACATGATCGTTGAGAGCAGATATTAATAGACGACAGGTTCTCGAACAGAGACGCCTTTGCAACACTGCCGATTTATAGTAGAATCATCATATGAGCAATGCTGAGGTTATGAAAAAGTTATTAGAAAAGACAGACAAGTTAGTCGATGAATTTGCGAACCCTCATCAACTGAGATGGCTTGGATGTGTTGCGCATATCATCTTACAGCCTACCTCGACATACAATATTAATCGAAGCAGGATGGGATTGATTGATTAGATTACACTGATACGATTATGAACAATAATCTACCCTCGAAACGTCATTCAGTAAACAATACTATTTCACTATGTGCTATATCAAACTAACAAATATAATACTGAATTGGATTAGATGGTTCAATATGGACAAACCAAGACGTGACACCAGTCCAACAAGTCTGACTTCTAGTCTGACTGCATAGTTGGAGTCCTAGAGAGGATATGAATCAATGGGTGGAGACTCGTGATGAAATGACTCAAAATCGGTCATAACAGTGCAGATGTCTTCACTTTATGACGTCTTGTAAAGTTTGAACATTTTCACTAACCTAATTTTCAGATTTTTTCTTTCTCCTTACAACGTCTACTTTGATATTACTAAATCTTCACCCACTTGTCCTTTGTTTGTTGCTGTAAAGTATGGCAACTCAAACTGATGCACTTCTACAACAGGTTCCACGTTGATTTGTCTGTCTGCAAGACTTCAACTGAGTGTGGTGAGTCTGCGAAGTCCACCCTCCAAGTTTTTGGGGATTCTATGGATAGTTATCGCAGCCTTGCATGTGTAGGCATAACACAGTCCCTTGTTCGACTGAACGGCACAGTGAAAACAAAGAAGAGTAGTGAAACTCCCCAGTGTCTTGTTTTAATTTCTGCACTCACTGACTACAGATGAAAAAAAGATGAGTTCTATTGAACTGATTAACCTCCAACTGAAAGTTAAACCAGATGTCGATGTCGTAGCAGTTGATTTCAGTGGACAAGTGGGCAGTCTACGAAGTTGAAAGGCATTTAGATGGTGCTTTCAGAATCCCGACAAAATGAACGGATAACGGTGATTGCCTGTTGCACGACTGTGCTCAACAACTACATATTTCTGGTCAGCACAGACTTCAGACGTAAAAAGATGTGATGGTATCCACCGAACTCAACTATGGGGTGGACACAGACAGACCATACTGCTGTCGGTTACCGCTGGAGAGGGTTGGTGGAAGATTATCGCTCCTTCTAAGGCACTCGCTTAGACATTGATCGCGCATTTGTTTAAGCAACTACATGGATGCAATAAAAGCTACAGTAACAAGACCATTTCGAGAGCAGATCGATTATGACAATAAGAAGGTTGCTTTTAACGAGCAAATGGCTGGACAGTTATTGGAAAATAACAACACAATTAATCAAAAATAAGCCTGTTATTGTCTCCAAACTACTGTAAAAAAGTGATGAAGATTATAGCTAATTCTCAGAAAAAGATTGTTATGGTTTCGAAAGCTGCTGTGCTACGGTCGCTAACGATGCACGGATAATGAGTGTTAGTCACCAATGTTCAACAAATTCCTAGTTGATTTACGACCCGAAAAACTTTGTAACACCCACAGAGGAGTCAGTCTGACAAACATCTGGTCTAAAATCCTTCGTTCTATAACCATTAGACACTTGAGTGAAGGTCTGGAACAGGAAACCTGAGAAAACCAAGCAGGCTTCACTTCTCGTCGGTGTGTCGACCAGATATATTCATCATTCGCCAGGTTCTAAAACACTGACACACCTGCAGGTATCTGACACTAACTGCACTTCCTGACTTGAATGGAGTATTCGATTCTGTCGACAGAGTGGTCTTACGGTGTTGGGAAGTCCATCACCGTTTTGGATGGTCACAGAACACTACTTAGTAAACTAATAGTACACAGGCGACATAGTTTCGCTGGAGGAATATGCTGACAGGATACAATGTACTGCACACATTGAGTGGCAACATGAAAATGCTTACAGTACATTTCCTACCACCTAAATACAAATCTTTGCTCCAGTACTGGTCTGTATTGATGCTTCGCCTAACAAAAAGGAGTGAACTGGTTGAGCATGGTGAACGCTTTACTTGGCAGAGAAGTCAGATCAGCCCTGGAGGATCAGTGACTAATAAAATTTCGGGACCAATAAAAAAGGCTCGATTGGCCCCCACTAACCTATGTCATTTATAGTACTACTGGGATATCAATTTGCTGTTTTCTCCTATGTAGCTGTGAAGCAGGCACATTGAAAGTATAGGTGGTGAGGAAGTTCAAAATGTTTGACCAGCACTGTCTTCGTAGTTTAGACTGTGTGCCGTGATACCATGCCAGTAGAGCTTTAGGCAGAAGACAAATTATTTGATGAGAACGTGTTAGGTATATTTGGACACTATTTCTCCAATTGTACAATGTTAGCGGAAGTAGGGCTGTTATTGTCAACCAAATTTGGCATCAGTTTATGAAGTCTCTGACTGTTGGTGTAAGTCGTGTAGGGGAGTGATGACTTTCCGGTCAGAATTTACATGACAACCAAAACAGTTAGTTGGAGATGCTACGCGATATGGCTCAAAATCGATGGCAGTGATGCACAAACACATAACCTTTATCTCAATCTTCATACAGAATATCGTTGTCATAATCCTTTTTGTCGTCATTACAACTTTCTACCATTTTTAACTACTGTCTTTCTTAGTTTTCCTATCCATCATCTTGGTACTACGTATCCTGATATGGTGATGAGAGGTGTAGCAACTTGGACCGCTAAGCAATAATGCCAGGTCCCATATTGATGCTGACTAAATGACTGCCGGTAAGCATTCTTGTGTTTCAAAACTCATCGAAGGGCTCAGATTTTACCGATGCACCGTCATCCAGGTACAAAACTTACCTTGTTCATACGAGCTCCAGTTATTTATCAGATGAAGACGAACCTTGGGGTATTAGATATGCCAATCAAAATTATTCCTGTGGCGTCCATGGGAAGATTTCTTTTCTTGCTTATAAACTGGAACGGTCAGTTACTAAGATCAGTTTGATGAGGACAACCCAGATCATGATACACTAGCTAGATCCTACTGCCTGATCCTGTTGAATAACTGGAGGAATGACAATGAAAACCCGCCCACATTAGGGTCTAGTGTTAGGAAACTGAAGAGTGACTGTAGGTCAGTTGAAAATAAACTTGACAATGAAACAGAAATAAGATTAATGTAACTACTTTTTTCTGAACAACTTCAAGTCTTATTCATTGGTACTGCATCATAAAATGAAGTACTGTTATTTTCATTCATACCTTTAGATTTGTTTGGAAACTGGTCAGTCGCATTTTCGCAGCCTCGATTTCTTCCTTAGTTTGTGGATTTATTTGAACAATATCATCCGGAGAAAATGCTGTTCCACACTACAAATTGGAAAAAAGAACTATGTTAGTATGTGCAGGAGATAAACGATATAAACCATGTAACAAATGGACGTTATAGTATGCCAAGTACTTTATGGTCAAAATGACATGGGGAAAAGAGGTAAAAAGAAAGAGCACAACAACTACAATAAATAACGCTTAGTTATTTGTCAAACGATCATGACTGACTTGGAAAGAGAACAAGATGGCATATTAAATGATTATTACATGTATATATTATCCAGTGTCTTGAAGTAGATGAAGCAGACCCAAGGCCTTATTAATCTAAGTATTATCACACAGGTCAAAACTGCTAAACACCGGTCAAACACGGGGTTTCGAGCTGAGCATAATTGCATTAAAATTCGTAATTCTGAAACCACTTGCTACTGGTAAAGGAACTTTGTGGAGTACTCGTTGTACTACGTTGGAGTCCAGTGTCCGCCAACTTTCTTCCAACAAAGAGAAGTAAGTAACAGCTGAGTACCCTGGTTATCATTAGGGAACGTATTAATACAGTCACTGCAAGTATTACAACTTCAATGTTTTGTAGTTTTTGACTGAAAATTATGAATACCACTGCTCTTGGGTCCACTATTTTTCAATTAATACGTTGGAGAACAACCACCTCAGCTGGTAAATTTGAGACCGATCATGACAAATGGTAAGCTAGACTCACATATTGAGTTACCAGCTGCTCTAAGGCTGATCTCGAATTACAGCTAATTACTCAGTTCGTTGTATTTCATGATACACGATGCACCAGTGCATGCAAAATACTTCGAAAACTACCTCTTTGCTTTTGTTATCATCATCAACATCAACATAGGACCAGACATTACGGCGTGACGGTCCAAGTGGCCATACCCCCATATCAGCACATGAAGTAACAATGCGATAAAATAAAGATGAAGACGAGATAAAAAAATGGTCAAAGGAAGTAAAAGGTAGTAAATGAGATTAAGTATAGCGGTTAAGATGAGGATGATGTGTGTATGCATCTGAGCCACTGACATCGGTCCTGAGCCATATCATTTAGAGTCACCAACCACCGGTTTTTCTTGTCTCGTGGACCCCAACCGGCTATTCTGCATCGCCCTAGTGTTCAAACGAACAGTCAAGGACTTCATACATTGATGCCATGTTTTAGTCTGGTCATCTTGAGCCTTTTTTTCAACTTGAACCTACTTCGAACAACATTGTATGACGAGGAAGATGGCGGTTAGGAATACATAGCACATGTCCTAGCTATCTCAGCCGACGAAGGTTCACAACCGCATCTACTGTTTTACCTCTCCTGCCTAAAACTCTACGTCTGACATTTGCGTTACTCTCTTAGTGACACCATGAAACACGGCCTATGCTATGACGGCAACGGTGGGCAAGTACTTGAAGCCTTCTCATGTATTGTGCCTTTAATGGCCACGTTTCACAGCCATACAGTAGAATAGAGCGAACTACAGCATAGTACACTCGACCCCCAATCAACAATCAGATATTATGAAGACGCCACAGACGGTGTAAGTTGGCAAGAGCTAACCGAGCCTTTAGCAACCGTGCAGAGAATTCGTCACTCACTGATCCGCCAGGGCCGTTCCGACTTTCCAGGTAAGTGGTGTTCAACGCGCTCAACCACTTCACTCTCTATTGTTAGTCGGGGTACCGTCGAAGACCAGTCCTAGAGCAACGATTTGCATTTGGGTGGCGAGAAACGAATCCCAGACATTCTTAAATTGCCACTCAATGTGTCCAGGAGACTGCATCTTGTAAGCGTCCTCACCCAACAGGACTATATCATCTGCAAGTTCTAGATCTTCTGAAAATCCTCCAGTCATCAGGTCGATCCCTGTGTGGTCAGATGACAAGAGGAGGGCCGCCATAAGAACGTCTACGACAAAATTGAGTAGGAATGGAGAGAGTGGGGCATCCTTGACGGACACCATTCAACGAACACAAGTCACCCGATATTTCACTACAGGCTCTAACACACCAACAGAAATTTGAGTAAAGACCCTTCAATAGGGCGATGTACTTACTCGGTACCCCTTTCAGTGGGACACTACCATAAGACTTTTCGATCGACAGAGTCAAATGACGCCTTTAGGTTGAGAAATACAGCTATTGTCGGGCGCCAGTAAATTTGCCTATCTTCTAGAACCTGGCGGTGCGAATATTTTGTCAATACACCCACGGCCAGGTATGAAGCCTGCTTGGTCTCATTGGGTTGTTGTTCCCGAGCTCCACCCAGGCGTCCAATTATTATAGAACCTAGGATCGTAGACACTATGTTCGTTAGGCTGATTCCTTTTTGGTTATCTCAAGAGGACTTCTCGTCTTTCTTGAAGACTGGGACAGTGATTGAGACCATTCAGAAGGGATCATACTTGACTCGCCTACACTAGTCAGTGCTTCGGTTTACTTGGTTAAAATCACTCTACCGCCGTCGTTTACTTAAGAAACTAGTCTGGACTTGTTGCCCTTCCTCGTTTTAAGTGACCCACAGCTTTCTCGACTTCAGATAGTGTTAGGGAGCCTGTCTCAATGTTTCATTCAGGATTCGACTGGATAGCGTGAAACGCAACTGTGGCTGGTGGCCAGCTGAACTGTTGCTCGAGGTGTCCCACCCATCGTTCCAGTTGTCTCCTTTGCGAGAGAACCGCAGACCTATACTTCTCCAGTATAGTCTCACTAACAGTTGACCTTTTCGCCCGTTTCCTCAATAAGTCTAAATAAGTTTGTGCTGTTACCTATTCCTGCTGCTTTTTCCATTTCTAGCCTTCGCTGCCCACCACTGTTCGCAGTCACTGCGTAGACTTTTTGTCAGCCTACATTTGAGTTGCGTTCGCTCTTCATTGTACTAAGAGCCCGCAGGGATACGTTCGCGTGCATCCATTAATTTAGAAGAACCTGCTGACATCCATTATCTCTTTTTAACCACTGTTTAGGGGTTGGCTATGGTCCTCAATGCTGTTTTAACAGCAGTCTGAGGATGGCAACAAGCTACTTCTGGATGATTGTTTTGGCCTGATAACTGCCTGGCCAGTTTCTCACTGATTGCGGCTTTAGTGACTCCATTGTTTAGCTGCACTCGCAGTGGTCTCGTTGCCTAAGTTTCTTTACTTCCATTGAGATGCTCGAAGCAACGCGTGGTCACTATTCAAACGTGCTCAAGAAGGACCAGTTTTCCACTGACTACTCCCATTGTCTAAAAGACGGTGTTCGCCACGGAATCTGCCGAGGTGAAAGGCACACCGCAAAACTAAGACAGAAGAATTACATCTTGAGATCTGGTCAACTAAATGATCTTCATGAAGTTAGAATGTCATCGAACATTAGCACCATTTACGTATTGCAACTGAGAGATAGGTGATCAATGAGCGAATAAACCAGAAAGCCTGCTAAATATCTCTCACTAACCTTCTGATGCTGCAACGGTAAAGTGCACAACTTGTCGTTTGCGACCGACAACACTTTATCTTTGTTGACTACCTGTATAGTCTAGTCTCAAAGATTCAATATTTTGCAGGATGGATTGTGAGAATGACTATAACCAAACTTCGTAATGGCACAATAGTCAACTGCTTGTTCTCTTTTCGCAGGCATTCTTATATTAAGGAAAAAAATGAATAGAAGTACTGTAAGTCCCTTACATTGCAATGGTTGTAAATTGACTTACCAGCATACATAAGTTGCTACTAACTTCTGTGAGAGCCTTCTTGGAAAAAACGCAGCCACAGCTCCAAAGATAAATAAAAGGGTAGACTCCTGACATTTCAAGGCCTGTTACCGGACAGTAGAATACCTGAGGTTCCTGGCTACCCTCTGGCGACGACGTTGAACTCAGACGTAATTCCTTCACGTCCCTCAACCTTTTAATATGATCGGAAAATCCATCACCTTTTGTTTTGGTCAGTAGTTTGTTGATAACTGACTCTTTGTTATAAAGTCTATTAATGTGTGAAAAGTGTGTTAGTACTTACTTCCCAAGCAGACATGAAACTACAGGTTGGCGGAGAGGATCTTGTGTAAGTGCACAATGCTTCCAAAGTGCCATGTTGGCCGCCTCACGATTAGCAACTTCCTGTTTCTTTTTCGGCTTGACGAGATCATCGCGACGGGGTATACTACCACCATCTCCACCCATCGAAATTTGTTTGAGTAGTGCGCGGGGTCCAATATCCAATATCCAATATTGATAGTGCGAGCGTAGAAAACTAGTAGTTTTTGATCTCTCGCGTCTAGTTCTTAGGGCTTGGTTCCAGTTGTTCGGTTTACTCCTGCAGTGGACGAGGAAATCCCCTCTGCTTTCTTGCTTTTAGCTTCGGTGAGGTGGATGTTTTGTGGGTTAGTAGGTTGTAATTTGTAGAGTGATTAGGGAGCTACGGGTTGCTGGGAAGTTTAGAGAACTGCCATGACTCCTGTCTGTGTAGGTACCTGAAAGAGAATAGTAAGGTAGTGGTAAAGGAATGAAGAGAGAATAAAGAAGAGAGTGAAGTAGCACCATAGAGACTCTGGGAGCTGGGTTAAGGCCGTATCGCTAACCATCCTTGCCTTTAAACAGGAGTTTGCGTAGATAGCCACTCCCCCTCCTGCTCTATGTTCCCTGTCCCTGCGGAAGAGTTCCATGCCAGCAACACGCATCTCTTCGTCGGAGATGTCCGATGAGAGCCAGGATTCGGTGATGAATATGATGTCGGAGTGCTGATGTTCACGCAGCGTCCTCATTTTTGCTACCTTCCCTATTAGCCCCCTAACGTTGCTGTACATACATATTAGAGTGTACCTGATGAGGGGGGAGGTCTGGATGTGTATTTTCGCGGGATGAGCGCTTACGTGGTTGAATTTAGCCTCGCCAGTCCTCATAGGACTGGCATTGTTCCGTTTTTTTGTGTTTTGTTCTTAACTTGGGTGGGGGCTGTAGCAGTGGTGGCTTCTTTACTTGATGTATCTAACTCACTGGTCAGCGCCTGTGTGACGACCACTGACTCCAGAGGTCTTGGTGGTTGCCGTCTCTCCTCTTGCCTTGTGGGTCTAGGCTTACTTTCACATATACGTATTGAGCCACCCATGCGATCTTTCGCATTATACCATGCGTGCAGAACGTCTGTGAGGGAGGCATATGAGTCGAACTGGACGGCAAGTAGTCTGGGATTGGGTATGGTCTTCAGGTGCGCTGGCCTTGGCAGTCTACTGACGCTGTTGGCCGGTATACTGTTGAGACCAACTTTGGTTGAGAGCCATTGCCATTGTTGGACGTCGTGAAAGTACCGATCTTTGACCGAGCTGTCACTTGGCAATTCTGGAATCCCATGTACAACTATAGTGTTGTTTCTGTTGGGATTTCCAACCGCTGACTTTCTCTCCTCCTCTCTTACTGACCATGGCTTGTCAGGCCTGGCCCGAATTTTACAGGCATTAACAACGTCCGGTTGTCGTGAGAGGAGGAGTGTGTCTTCAGCCTCTTTGGCGGTATTTAGGGACACACGTAAAGGGGGGGCTTATCTCGGGGTGCATGGCTTCCTCGAGAAAGGCGACACAAAGTTGCAGGGAGGGGAGGGAGTCCCAGCATCTGACAGTAGTCGGTCCACATTCGGCTGTCAAATTGTTCCCTCTCGACCAACAATGAGTCTGTCGATACATCGACGTTGAACAAAATGATCGAGTTGGTCCTCCTGTGACCTGGGTTCGTTGTGGGTGGCACGCCCGACTTACCAATGGGTTTGAGTAATTCCACTGGTTGTTTCTCAGTCACGGTGTGTGGGGTGTTCGGAATGGGTTTCGTAGAGGCTTCGGCGGTCGATGTCTTTGGCCATGCGCTTGACGTCCCCTGGGGCCGGGTGGGGGTATGGAGACTTGACCTAATATGGTCCCCACGCGAGATGGCGTGCCCACAGCTGGAGCTCTAGGTCTGTTTCCAGGTCTCTCTGTGTTATCCTTTGGTGTTAACCCTACCTTATTCGGGGATGCTGGTAGCTTTTGCGTGGCGGAGAGCATCTCCTTCAGGCTTTCTGTGCGGAGTGCGGGCATTTTCCTGCACTCTGGACAGATGTACCAGAACCACTTGCATGGTTGTCTCTTCATCAGCTTATAGTATTGTCGGGGGACTTTGGTATCGCAGTGGCAATGCACCCATCGTTGACACAGGTTGCATGCAAATGCCTCATCGACTACCGAAACAACTTTGGTGCAAACACTGCAGCCATCGGGTGTCGTAATACAGCCTTCCTTCCATGAATAAGGTGCTACGGATTGTGGCGAACTGCTTGTGGCTGCCTTGTTCTGAAGCCTTTTACGTCGTCTTCTATGTTCAGGCATGGTATGATCCTTGCTCAAGATAGGACTAGTTTGTGACGGGTTAGTGCTACTCTGTGTCACCTGTCTGATGGCTACTGGAATTCTAGAAACATGGGTTGGCCACTTCTTCAGAAGTTCGATGTTCTGCCCTACCTCTGTTTGTCTTCTAGTACAGACTAGTGTGTTGTTTAGGGTGTTACTGGCCGTTGTTGTGCACGACCGCGTTATCCGTGTCAAAGCTTCAGACCTAGCGTTTTGGGCAGACATGTCGCTATGATATAAACTTCTTGGGAAAACAAGTAGTTAACAACAATAAGAGGGTTGAAGACTGAATGCAGGAAAAGGACAGAATAGAAAAGGGAAGATAATTTATGTTGGCTCACCTTCAGACACTTGTCACTTGATCCTCTGCTCTTGACCAACGAGTTTAACCGTAAGCTCCAGATGCGTATGTATAACCAGGGAAGATATTTCCTGGGGAATGACCTCCGAGGAGAACCGAGAGCTAAGGCAGTTTGGCAGCTGAAACGCCCAAGAACCACTGACAGGAGGTAGACCGGTTGGTTCAAAGGAATAATAATGCCAATTTTCAACTGTTGAGGAGTGAGCTGACGAATGCGCAGGGGTGAGGTGCGTGGACGGACAGAAGTGCTGCAAACGTTCTATGTTTTTAGATTGAGTATTGAAATTGGGAGTTTTTCATTGTGGAAAAATCCAAAAGCTGAGAGACGAGCGAAACACGTCACAATTGCTGAAATGCTGAGCACCACATTTGACACAGCTTAACATTCCATCAAGAAAGTGCGCATACCAATTGCACGAACAGCCCCCAACGTTACCCGATGCTACTGAGCTACACGGTCAAACTTCAAACTTCGTGTTGGAGAATTCCAATCTAGTATCCAATATTGATAGTGAAAGCATAGAAACTGATAGTTTTTGACCTCTCGCCTCTGGTCCTTACTGCTTGGTTCCAGTTGTTGGATTCACTCCTTCAGTGGGCGAGGGAATCCCCTCTGCTTTCTTGCTTTTAGCTTCGGCGAGGTGGACGTTTTGTGGGTTAGTAAGTTGCTATTTGTAGAGTGATTACGGAGCTACGGGTTGCCGAGAAGGTTATGGAACTGTCGTGAATCCTGTCTGTGTAGGTACCTGAATGAGGATAGTAAGGTGGTGGTAACGAATGAAAAGAATGAAGAGGAAAAAAAGAAAGGAAGAAAGAAGACGGGGGAAAAGAAAGAAAGAAAAGAGAAAAAAGTATGCAGGAGTTGCCTGAAAGGTAAAAGTAGATAGCGCGAATCTGTTTTCTGGAAAAAAGTTAGCAGGTAATTTAGGTGTATTAAGGAGAGAGATAGTGGGTGGTAGGTAGAAGGGAGGTCAGAGTGGGCTAGAGAAGTTGGTGACTCACCATGAGAGGTGATATAGCCATCTAACCGTCTCTTAAATGAGTTAACTGAGGGGGCTATGATGATATGTCGCGGTAGGGCATTCTATTAGGCACACACTCTCCGGGAGAAAAAGTTGGACCTGACCATGTTATCTGCTCCTGATGTACTATCTGAATGGGGTTTCCTAATGATGACCGCAGTATTGCAGACAAGGTTAATTCGTTTGCATGGTTTGCTCGATGGCTGATCTGGTAGGTCACTCCTCTTCCTGCGATAACCCAAGGCGAATGCGTTTAGGTGCTTCAGTCTTTCAGGGTATGCCTTCCACCTTAGCCCCACAACTGGTTTTGTTGCAGTTCTTTGTATTTTTTCGGGGAGACTAGAGCCTATCTTGAGTGTTGGGGGTTCACCGTATTGAAGACCTCTAGGTGTGGCCGTACGTAGGACTTTTCAACTGTGAGGAAGAGTTTGAAGTGAGGGCGCTAAGCTGCCTGTACAGAAAGTGCGAAATGGCGTTCGCCGTGGCTGTCATAACATGGTAGTTGTAGCTGGTGTTCAGGGTGTCGGGGAAGTTGAGCTGCAAATTTCTCTCCATAGACACTCTAGCGATGCCACGGTTGCTCAACATGTGTTGGAAGTCGGCTGTACCTACTTCATATTTACTGGTGTGCATTACTTCGCACTTTTCCAGGCTGAAGCTCAAGCCATTTTCCAGCGACTAGAGTTCGAGTTGCTGCAAGTCATTCTATGGTGCTGTGAAATCGACTTCTTCGTCTACTACACTCCAAATTTCAATGTGGTCGGCTAAGAAGGGCTTGAATGAGGATATTTTGTATGGTGGATCACTGACAAATAGGAGCGACGGGAGTGGTCCTAGGTTCGCTCCTTGGGATACTCCTGACGTCGAGGGTCTCCAATCCTACCTTATTCTGTTTACTTCGGTGCAGAGCTGCCTTTCGTCTATGTACTCCTTGAGCCGGGAGAGTAGGGTTCGCCTATACTGGCTGACATGATCTTGTGAAGGGTGAGACACTGTCAAATGCTTTGGCTAGGCCAAGAAAAACAACATGTACCGGTTTTCCTTTGTTCCAGCATGGTGTCCAGTCATCCCAGGCGGTTGGTAAGTTGGTGGCACTTGAGCGATCACTCCGAACGGTGTTTTCTCTGTTGAGGAATTTCCAGATAGTGTCAGCTACCAGGATTTCTAACACTTTCGACGCTAAATGAAGTAGAGCAATCGGCTTTTTCTGTCACCTTAATTGAAGATACGTGACAAGATGGCACACTCCCATTCTTCAGGGGGTTCGCATGACTCTACCGAGTGCTTGAGGTGGTTGCAGACTGGTTTTGTAGGCACCTCAGCGCAGTGCCTTAGGGCCGCCGGTTTTAGATTATCGCAGCCACAGGACTTGCTTGGATGCACCCTAGATAATTCCTCCGGCATGTTTTTCTCTTTGATTTAGATGTGGCGGAGGTATTTATTATTTATGGCCTGTCCAGTGT